CAGCCGGAAGCTGGGACGCCTAAAGGCACGCCGTGACGACAGCGACATTCGCGTTCGCTTGCGCTTTTCGCCAGCATTTCTACCCCCAACCGCCTGGATCGCGACAGGTAACAGCATGACACTCCGGTTTCTGTGACGCCATTTGTTGCCACCTAGGCACCACTTTTGATGTATGGGCGGGATAGGACGCTAAACACACCAGTCAGAGACGCGATTCAGGCACCATAGCCTTGGGACAACAGGGCTCACGTGACCACCCACGTGACCGCCCCTCCCCTCCAGCCCAAAGTTCCTGTTTTTATTTTGATCCTGTTCGTCCTCCTCTCCGGCGTCGATCAGTTTATCTCTTTCTGCTTCTGGTTTCCTATAATCCTGTTTCGTTCTGTTTAGCTTCTGATGGTGTTGTGTTGACGGAGTCGTGTTCCGTGCCTAAGAAGTTTCGTTCCTAGTTGGCGGCGGATACTGTGGTAATATCTTCAGCGTGTGTTTGAGACTGGCTCTGGACAGTTGATCCTTTCGGACGTGACACGCTCAGTGGCGATGCTCCGAGCTCGCACGCCATTTCGGCACGAATCTCACTTAAATTTAGGAATCAACAACAAGGTGTGCGGGATATCCCTTTGTATTGCCTGCACATAACAAACGCAGGTGCTTGCACTATGTAACATTGAGAAAGTTGGTACGCTTTTTGTGCCTCTATACCGCGCGAACGCGTCTTCATATTGTAACGAAGAAAATAAGTGTCCTCTCCTCAGTTGATGACGAGTCTGATATTAGCAAACAACTGTTTATTCAACGAATATGAGACAGACTCTTTTGTAACAATTATGTACAATTCGTCAATGAATGTTGGGGGGAATACTCCTAACCTCTGGCGACTTCCCCTGCCGTCCTCCTTGACCACACACATCCTCAGCGTGGGCCCCCACCACAGCCGGACTCGACAAGCAAAGATCGACACAAAGACGGGCGAGCCGAACTCCTCCATAGCCGCAAGGGGTCCCAAGTTTGTGAGTTGGCGTGCGGAAGACTCCTGAAGCGAAGGGGGGTCGGACGTGCAGGTTGGCCTCCAGAGTAAGAATGATGTTCAGGGCATAGTGTCCAGGAGCCAAGTCCTCTGCGGGCCCTTGGCGGCTGCTTATATCGCATTCAGCAGCATTCTGGGTCCACACAGTCCACCAATCTGAAAGTTTGGGAAGGACCAATCAAGAGAATTTCTTCAGGACCAATCGGAGACGTCCCAGCAAAAGCACCGGATGCACCAACACCCGACAAAACGCATATCTAGAACAGAGGGACGAAGTACACGAAGAAGAATAAAATACAGGAAAAAGAACAAAACCCTCGGGGAAACGCGCGCCGAAAACAAGTAACGTTACACTGGCGGTCCTTGCTTCAGGACCCCGAACTCAAATAAAACACACTGTTCCAACCCAAAAAGGGGACAGAACCACCATGCCGCCTCCAAGTTGCCAACACTCTCCAACAGGGCGTCTTAACCGACAGCATATATGTGATTCAGCCAGTCATCGCAATAAACAACGCTCGCGCACTTAAAACCAGACAGCAGAAATCTTCTGACATTCCTTGCCTGCCGATAGTTCGCAGAACTCGGTTACAACCTCCCCAATACATACACACTGTGTCACTAACCTCGTCTCCAAGGTCCGCCGCCTCTCCTAAAGAAGGAATACACAAAGCAAAGACGCGGCTTGCCACTGCCCGGTTCACGACCGCGGCACGTATGGTAACACCATGGCTGTGTTCCAAATCTTACCCAAATGGATCCGAGTTACTCCGGCGGATCGTATCACGTGACAGCACAGATTGAAAAACGCTGGACGCGGGTTGAGTTTAGAACGCCAAGTGTACAAAACCCTTACCCTGGAGCAAGATCGAGTAAATTTTGGAACAGGGTGCCAGAGTCTGGGTGGGGATCATCCCGAAACTATGCCTACTCGAATGGGGATTCCGCGGCCACCTAGCGGCAGCGACCTGCCGCCGGCGAAAGACACTCGCGTTTTTCGAGAAGGGGTCCGCAAAATAAAGATATAGAACCGACGCCGCGAAGGCATAGCCTCGCGACAATATGGTTGCAGTTTCGCCTCGCATTTGGCTCCTGCTTTGTTTTTAACCGTGTTTCCTCTGTTCCTCGTTTTGTATAGATTTTATATTTGGTTCGTGCATAACGAGCGGGTTATTTAGGAAACGATCGGGATGTTAAATAAAAGGTTGCGAATGCAAACAGTGCCTTCTTGATGTTTCTTCACCGGTGCGATCGAACTAAAGTTCTGGCGCGATTGTAGGAGATACACGCATTTTCCAAATAACTGCAAATTTTATGACACGACATTCCGTTCCTTTGTCTACATAAAACACGAAATAAACCATAAAAGGCCATGGTGCCGCATCCTGTAATGTTGGGCACCTCCAAGCTACCGTTACCTGCGGCCTGATAACTGATGTAAAAGAAGTCCTTTTCTTCTTCTTTTTTTTTTTTTTTTGAATTATACATTATTTAAAAGATCATAAAAACTGCAGTCTACTGCACATTTGTTTTCTGAAAATTTATGTTAAACCACGACTTCGCCTGCGCGCGAAATATTTGTTTCACCGCCACTTTCGCTCACTTTCCAGTCCGAACTCCGATGCTCCAAAGTTCGAGATGCCAAAATAAGAAGATAGACGTCAAAATAACTTTCGAGAGTGGACGTCGAGATAGTCACTACGGTCACTACCGAAATAAAAACAAACTGAGAAAAGGGGGGAAGGGGGGGGGGGGGGAGGTGTACGTAAGTTGTCACGTGATCCCTGTTGTCACGTGACTGCCCTGACGACGCGCAGAAAGGGCGTCCCGGTATGACGTCATACCCAGAGTTTTCAACTGCCTGCGAGGGAACGCGTGCAGCATATTTGACTGCTCGGGTAAGGTTTGCGGAAGGCGCGGAAGGCCGCTCAGATCTCTGTATAATACCTCAGGATTTCCTCCTCTCTCTGAACGCGCCGCAACGCAATTTTCAAAGCGCTATTGTGGACAGGTGGCGCATCAATCAGAAATATAATTTTAATATTCGCCATCCTGAAGGCCAAATGCAAACAGTTTAACTGTGTGGACATCTGTGTGTGTGTGTGTTTGTGTGTGTGTTTATAAAAAACGCTTTAATTTTCAATTAAGTGTAAACATTTTTATTCTCATATACATTTACATATGCGGACTCTTAAAAGAGAATTGAAGCGGTTTTCTATTTGACGGGAAAAACACTTAAATTGTCTTCACTTGGCCTCCATGATCACGAATATAAAAAAAAATATATTGCAATTTTGAACACTGCACGTGTTCCCTCGCAAGGGAGCACGCGCAAGGCAGTCCCGTCCAGTGATGGGTTTTTCGCTGTTTCTCGCGTCTGGTGAGAGGTTTGAGTCAAATGCTTGTGACATTCAAAATCACAGGACAAAATACACTAGAATTCACCTCAGGTTTTTGTTTATTTTTCAAAACCCTTTTTAGTTTTTTTTTTTTTTTCTTAAAGCCGACGATTGAGATTATTTAAAAAAATGCCAATTACAATATACGAAGTATCTTTTTTATTCTCGAGGTATTGTTATTGACCACCGCTGACGTCAGGTTACCAGTATAAAAGAATAAATAACGAATTGAATAATTAAAAATATCTAGTTAACTTGTAAATATTTTCTTCAGGCTTGATTCACATAGTGCGATTTTACTTGCGACTTCAAAGTTGCGACGTCGCTCATGGGGCATAAAAAGCGTGGTGGAGGCTGCTTTGCTCAACGTCGCAACTGCGAAATCGCGATAAAAATCGCACAATGGGAATCAAGCCTCCCCCTGTGATTCCTTGATTCACATTGTGCTTGTCCTGTGATTCCAGGGCAGCAAACATTTTCGAATTTTGTGCGGTGTCATGGGCAGAATCCAAAATAATCCCTTAAGATTATGCCAAAGAATAGTTGGATTTGTTTTTTAACAGCGTCTGACCACTAAGATATTGCTGTTTGTTGTTTTAGCACAAAGTAAAGGCACTCTGCCAGATTGCTGAGCACGGTTCCAACCAACTGGCATATTAATTTTGAGAGTACTTTTGCCAGAACTAGCTTGTGTTTTGATGCTCTTGTCGTTTTCTGAGCAACAAATGATATCGGGAGGCAGACTGGTTCTATTTCGCTTTCTTGGTGTTACTTATAGAAGGGTTCTGCCCAATATTGAATAAAGTGTTCGAGGTCATGTTTCATACAAAGAACAGTATATTGGTGCTACGGTCATTGATTGCAACGCCACCAAGTATAATGTACGTATAAATTAGAAGGAGTTGTGAATATAGCTGGGCATGTCCTGTTCAGTGCTGTACAAACGTAAATAAAAGCAAAAACAAATGGGCCGTCAGGTATAGCTGTATAGCGAGAATGATCTGCCTTTGCTATTTTGAGATATCTTTTGAGAGGCACGTTAAAGGTTCCAGGCTAGTGGTTGTACTGCACGGGATAAAATGCTCATCAACAGCTGGGAGACTCGTCGCCGTTGAGGCAGACCAAGTTCTAGGCTGTATAAACATGCACACAACCCCAATTTTTTTTTTTTTTTTGACCTGTGCGAGGGAAGACCTCCAATCAGGGCAATATAGATACAAACTAAGAATTCTTAATGTGCGTCACGCAGTGGCGCGCGACGGCACGCTGTGGATTGAAGTGCAGATATCTAGGTTCAAGCTTTCGCCTCACGTATTGTGTTGGGCAACTTCATTGAGGAGGGAAAAGTTACTTAACGCACTTCATTTTATTTGTTCCCGTAGTCACGATCATTTAAATTCAAATTCTATGATGCTAAACTCCCAATTTTATGTGATGTGAGCAAGTACTTCGACAAAGAAAAGCTCCGAATGCATACAAAACAGCTCTCCTGGGTTGGGCTGACCGAGTGAAGCGGACGATCTCGCTCAGTGGCGGCCGCCCACGGTGAATGGTTCGTACCTGTTTCGTTTCAGCGCTGGCCTGCGCTCTCGAGGTCGCGGCGATCGACTACGAGGAGACCGTCGTTTGGCAACCGGACCCTCAGCACAAGTACGTCGCCCTGCGGGTGAGGCGCCGGAACGGCTTCCTTCCTCCCGATTGCGCGCTGGTGGCACTGGTGGTCGTGTAAAGGCATGGTTCGCAGAGGCCAGACAGACAGCGTGAACATCAGATCAGCTGCGCATCATCATCACCATAATCATCATTTATTATTCTTGAAGACCCTTACGGGCAGTAATGAAGGAAACGGTGTATTTTTTACGTAGAAAAACAGAAAGAGCAGCAACTGTGCAGGCGAGCTAGCGATATGGAAAACTAAAGCATACAGCCAAAGAGCTGAACACGCACACACACACACACACAAGCACCCACAAGCAAGCGCACACACAAGCGCGCAAACAAACAAGCACATGCACAAACAAGTGTACGCAGGCACACGCGCACACAATCACGCACACACAAAAGCGTATACAAACGCACACAAACACACATAAGTACGCGCACGCGCACATAAGCAGAGCACACAAGCGCGAGCAGGAGCACACGTACCACATATACGCACACTAACAGAAGCGCACTCACACCCAGACGCACGCACACAGTCGCGCGCGCTGACACATACATACGCGCACGCAGAGACGCATACACACAAAAGCATGCGCTGAAGCACACACAAAAAAAAAACGCACATACGCAGACACAATCACACATATACGCACACGTGCACGTACACACACGCATAAGCGCACACACACGCACGCGCGCGCACACACACACACGTATAGGCGCATGCACGCAAACTCACAAGACTCACGCTCACACACAGCCACCCGCGCACACATGCAAAGATGCACGCACACACGCACACAGCTAGCCATTCGCTGTTTCAAGTCTATTCTTGGCGCTTCCTCGGTCTCATGCCTTAATTATGTACTTATACTAAATATTCGACTTCATACTGATATCATTCACTATATTTTGTCTATTCCCCGTGGAACGTGTCAAAAGAGCAGGTTTATTGATAAATGTGGCTTCAATGCTTCGATGCAACGGACTGACAACACCATCGGCTTGAAAGATGCCTGCGTGCACCTTTTGGATTGCTGAGGCTGTATTTTTCTTATCTGAAATGCTGTGTCTCGCACCAGATCTCTGACATTCGGCACCGAGGCTGTAGTCATGTGTGCCCACCTCTACATGCTTAGCAGCCAATCGTTTAAAAATTTATAACCTTCGTACTTTCTCCAAGGCAAAAAAGGTATGCTAATAATTGAACGAAATGCTAAGTAAAAGTTTTGCCTTCTGAGACGGAAGTAGAAGTTTAATTAATCGGTTAAAGTACCATTGTTGACAAAGTTGGGGCATTGCTTTTTTAATTTTCAGTGAAGACATTGTCGTATATAGGAATTAATATTTTCCCCGAGTACACATTTGCCATAAAATTATCAATTTTGTAGCCTGATGGGTAGTCCTGTGAAGAGTTATCTGTAGAGGTGCTCGAATAATAAAACATCTACTCGAATCTATTTCAAATTGAAAAGCGCCGAATAGTGGCCAAAAAGGCGGATTTCAAATCAAGTATCTAATACAAAACCTTTCATTCAAAATGCAAAAAAAAAAAAAAAAAAAAATCGGATAGATGAGAATCAAAAGCCTTCGTGTTTATTTTTCGCCATGGCAGGCGGAACTATAGCGCAAGTAAGCACGGTGTTCATTGGAGAGACAATCTTGAGACGTAGCTGAAGGATGTGTATACCCATCCACGAATGGATAGGCAGCATGCCAAATGAATAGATTGATATGATTGAACCGTTTGAATCGGCCGCCATCCCTGTCATATCGCTCTACGTTGCGGGGAACGACGGGCTACCGGGAGGGAAGGATTAAATTATCGTTGCTATTTGCATTTTGACAATTTTCGTAATATGAACGTAAACGGTGAGAATATTATTATTTAGTGCACATAGATGGCGGCAGGCGACGCAAGATTATTGAATTTGAAATGGTGCATGGCTTGCTGGTTTACGTCGAGCTCGTCCAAAAAGCTAGGAATGCGACTGCTCTGTTCGCGGAATACTTTCAATGAAAATAATTTGTTAGTCAAACCTTCTTCTTGCAGTTTCATTTTGATCCAACGTAGGCCTGTGAGGATTACGTCACACAAAGAGTGTTCCTAAAAAGTATATTTTTTTACCCAGAAGGAGTGATGTTTAATTTAATAAATTATTGGGAAACACGAATTCTCGAAATTAGAAAGTCGAATCGAATTATTCGTTTAACAATTATTCGGTCACGGGCTCTCAAACTCCCTTCTTACTTCTTTTATTTTTCTTCTAGCGTTTCTTTCTTTTTTTTAATTTTTATTTGGCCTCGTAAATGTTTTGATAGTATATTGCCTGTCTTTGAACTGTGTTCTAGTTCCACTTTGTGTATTGCTTTAGGCTTATTTTTTCCATCTTCTCCTTTGATGATTACTTTTTTTTCTTTGTAGAACTATTTCTACGATCGTTTTCATAATGTCGTCGTTTCTCTGCTTGAAAGTATGATTACATTATAAGGCATCTCGGTAAATGCCCTCAGAGTCAACAGAATGTTTCTACGAGCAACTAAATATCACGAAATAAAACGAAAAATGCAAATAAAATGAATGTATTACTGTATGCACCTGCTGCATCTCTAGAGTTGTGAGCAATGCTAAAAAGACAGAAACGCAGTCCATTGTAGTGATAAGTTCAGCACGTCTTCTCTGTAACCCAATTCGCAAAGCTAAAAAGATGGGAAAGTCGTTTCGTGCCCGCGGTAAGGCTACATATAACTTTTCAGGTGGCGTAGAGTAAGTAAACCCACTCAAAATTAGATTCGATTACTCCGAGAAATCCGAGTCCGGTACGGCAAATATGGCACATAACACAGCATGGTCCGGAACTAGAAACATTCCATTGCCACCCCCCCCCCCCCCCCTTTTTTCCCCAAATCGCAGACACTTCAAAGCGAAGCCAATCCCGTAAAATGCTGTAATAAATATGTTCTCCAACGAGCCCTTAGGTGATAAAGAGACATTATACACTGTTGAATTTTCAAGAGATGGTTGGACGATCTCAGACGATCTGAGCTTGTTTCGCCACGCCGCCGTTACCACGAGGCATCAAGGGAACTTTTGTGTTGGTGCACGTGTGACAACCTAGCTTGCACGCGTTATGCACGTGCAAAGCACGAGACGGCACCCGAGGTATCGTGCACTGCTACCCGCTTCCCTTGGAGTAAAGTCATGGCGGCATCACGCACGCGCCAAGCGCCTGGTGCAATGGGCCAATTGCACTTCTCTTTTTGCGACTCCTTTCCTTGACAAGATTTCGTCCCCTTTCAGGAAGTCACGCAAGGTCCGACCTATCAAGAAACCGCTTCAGTCGAGCCCAAAGTGACGGTGGTCGACAACGGTAAGCTGTGCTACGTAGTACACCAACTCCCTCTGTCCTCCCCACCCTCAGGAAAAAAAAAAGAACAACATAAAACAGTGTTTTTTTTAACTAAAAATTAATGTCCATATTCGAACGCTCGCTCTTCTCTCAAATGTAGCCCTAGCGGCGGTCCAACCCAAATACCAAAGTTTCAAAACTAACCATTATCTTATCAAAAGTTGTAAATGAATTTCTGTAACTTTCAATGGAGAAAATTATGTCTGCTTTCGACAGTTCGCGCCGTTCTGCCCCCTGTATTTGTGGGCACTGTCAGCCACAGTTTTACCATTTGAAATTTCGAAAAATCGCTTATAATGTTTGTACGAGGTAACGATTCGTTCCGAACCTTTGCCCTCTATAGCTCAGGCGCCACATTTGGGTAAAAACTGAGCGTTCGACAACGCGTAATTTATTACTGCATAGATTACAAATAAAGTACTATTTTTTTTAGGGGGGCATTTTTATATATACACTCTAAACTCCTCGGGTTAGACGAAAAATAAAAAAGAAGATAACTAATCGTTTGCCGATGCCGTCCTGATCCGGAAAACTCCGGTGGCGCAATGTGTGCAATGGGAGGAAGCGTTTCTGATGCCAAACGTGCGAGATTTAATGAAAGGACGCACTCAAAACGTTCCCGCGCATCTACTTGTTCGCGGAGCAGTTGAAGGAGTTTTATTGGAGCGACTTCTAAAGCGCATTCAGCGAACGTGGGGGTGCACCAAATCACAACTTTCAGCGATGCTGGTACCGCGGTGCGAGAATTACGATCCCTATCTCCTCGAGGGACAGACTTCGAAATTAAGTCGCTCACCTACATCTTCCTGGCGTGGAAGAATGAGGCAATGTTCTTATATCGCTCGCATTTTATGAAAGTACAATTACTCGCGCGTCGCAGACCCCACCTTGTACCGCCGCTATACGACGACCATCCAGATGACAGCCATTTTTGATCACAACTAGCGCGCCCCCTATAGGCTGTGAAACTTGCGAATTGTTTTGACAGGAAAGCGCGCCCAGGAACGTTGAGCCCGATATTTCTGGCGCTCAGGGTACCTGCGCAGATGACGTCGATCGAGCCGTTTCTTGGACTACGTCATTTGATGGTCGGGGCCCAGGAAGCGTAGCCGCTGAGCCTCCACGTGCTCTGACAGGCAATGCGCAGTTCGGAGCATCGGCAGCCCGTTAAGGCCCCGTTCACACGATGCATTTTTCTCGCGCATCTAGTGTCGCGAAACGTAGTTTCGCGAAATGGTTGCGCCGTCTGAACGAGTCCGAAAAGGACGCGCGTCCTTTTCGGACTCGTTCAGACGGCGCAACCACTTCGCGAAACTACGTTTCGCGACACTAGATGCGCGAGAAAAATGCATCGTGTGAACGGGGCCTTAAAGGCCCGTTCACACGATGCACTAGGCCACGCCACGCGTATCTGTCAGAGAGCGTAAGAAATGCTTCTTACTTCCTACTTTCGCCTTCGTCTCGGCTAAGGCCTGATTTGCTACAGAGCGATGAGGTCTCGCCCTGCGTATTTTAAGTTGTTCCGGACTCTAGATGGCTTCATGTTGTAGCCAGACAGGTTTGACGGGTTGCTCGGACCCACATTTGCATCCCGATGGGCTCCGACTGGTTTCTTCTTGAAACGATCCGGCCAAGTTAAACCGCTTCTTTTTGCAGCCACCACAGGAGGGCAAAAACTCCCCGCCTCCGAATCGCAGAAGGCTGAACCACCAGCGAAAGGTGAGGAATATCCGTCTATGCAACCGATTTATTTTAGAAAGCAGCTCTTAGGCGCCCGTTGCCGGGTTGAGCGGCGTCGGCGTTGACGTAACCGTGCGTTGCGTTATGGGACGTTTCCCCGGTACAGTTAGTAGGAAACTTTCCTGCTAAATTTAACGGGGAAATGTTTCCGCTAAAGTTAACGGGAAATTTTTCCCTCTAAATTTAGCCGGAAAATAATATCTAAATTTAGCAGGAAACTTAGCGAAACTTTTTCCGCTAAATGGAAGCGGAGCAGGAGAGGAGTTGGGGAGGGTACGGAGAGGAAGGAGGGGCGTACCCTCCCCTACGTACCCTCCCCTCCTCCTCCTCAACAGCTGCGCTCTAATTCGGTATTACAGAAAATTGTAAATGTCGTTTTTTTTTTTAGATTTTGCTTTCTTATTTGTACGTACGGGTTTTGCGTCGCTTCGCAGAAAGCGAGAAATTGAGGCGTTAACCGATAAAAAGGAATCACGAAGCGAGGACATGGTAGGACACGCGCCGCGTGTTTTAAGCTGTCAGGGAGCCTAAGAAATGAGGGGGCTAATTTATTTATATATTTCGAAATATTGCGACCTCAATGAGGTTATCGTAGGAGTGGAAAGAAACCGTACATATACATTCAAAAACACAAACAATTAAAGATGCACACACCCTATGGAACAAAACTAAGAAAGGCGTGAAAAAGATGTACACGCTCTATGGAACAAAACTAAGAAAGCCGTGAAAAACGCAATCTATCGTTCTAGAAAAAAAATTATTTAAAAAGGTTAAGGCGGGCTCTGTACGGTATAAGATTTAAAGGATGGAAGCTTCGAGTGCGTGATTAAGTAATAAAAACAACATATTTTTTCCCCCGAATAAGTACACAGTTATTATTCAATATTTCGAGTAGGAGCAGAAGTTGTTCTAGAGCGTGTCTGGAACCAAGAGGCGTGAGTCCTGTATCAACCATAAAAGATGTAGGAAAAAAATTGCGGTCATATCTATTTAAAATAAATCTAGTTGTCTTTGCTTGTATTGCGCCAATCTGCTTAATAACACCCTTTAGATACTGATGCCATACCATACAATCATAACCTAAGTGGCGCAAAACTCATGAAATAAAAAAATAAAAAAATATCTTTACGCTTCATGATTCATTCTCTAATGGCTTAATCTGATCCACTGCGAGGCGATCATGAGAAGCTCGACGACCTTTAAAGCAACCGTTCAGCCATATTGGGCTATGATATTTCTCACGTAAGCTGTTGGTACTACTCTGACCCAAAGACGATCGCATACAATGTCACTGGTATACATATTTAGATTCGTTTAAAATAATTTTAAATCATGGGACAAAACTGAAGCTCTACTATGGACGCAAGAAATCAGTTTCAAAAGAGTTTCCATCGGTTATGTATCCCCGCTTCCTTGAGAATACATCACCGGCGACGCTGAAGAGTCGTTCTACTGACGCGCTTGAAGGAACGGCAGTTCTTCAGGGGGGCTATGTTGCACGCTTTGGACTCCCAGGAGACTAGGGAGAAGGAAGTGACGTCAACAACGCTCTTTGGATGTTGATTGGTGGAGTCGCTGATTGCGCGTTGCGTGGTGCTGCCAAGATACGTTCATTCACACCTACGTCACTTCCTTCTCCCTAGTCTCCTGGGAGTCCAAAACGTGCAACATAGCCCCCCAGAAAGAGCTGATGAATCTGAGGGAGCTTCTTTGTCGCCAGGTAATTGCAAAAGTAAAAGTGCACTTCTTCCTTCCATTTGTCCTTGGTAAAAACTTGATGACGTAGAATCCCGGAGTGCATTGATTTGCATAGTCACAGGGCTTTTACATAACGATGATATTCAAATACCGATCCCCCCTAATGCTCATAGATTAGGCACGAGTACCGCGTTAGCCTGCATGAGCACTCGGTTGGCTCGTGACAATCAATGTCTCCACGAGCATTCGGGTAGTGGATCGTGCCCAGTAGCTGCTGTGATGCAGACAGCCAGACCATAACAACGAGTGAAGCTCAGCACATGACCTGTTCTTTTTTGCAAATCCCGGCGCGTGAAAACGAAACAGATAATGTGACCTCATGTTCTGACCAACTTTGGTTCTGACTGCGAGTTGAAGCGGTAAACGGTGCTCGTTTTTCTTTTTTTTTTTCTGCTACTGCCATCGCACGTGGAGAAAAACCTTAACGCATGTTCCATTCATCATGAACATTGAGAACTAATACATCGTTTACACAATGTCACAACAGCGGCCATTGTGATGGTCTTGCTACCGACTGTGTACTTTCTACAGCATATACTTCGCACCATTAATTTTTTTTCTCGGCAGGACCAAATAGGAGTGACCACCACCACGGGGCGACGACGTCACGTGCAAATCATGTATTTTATGCGGTGTTTAGTGACTCTACCGAAATAGCTGTTTTCTGGGCTTCCTGCACAGAGACCGTCCCTCCGGCGGCCGCCCCTGGGGTGGTGCCCCCTCGGGCCCCGATCCCGGAGTTCTCGTTCGGCGTGTGGAACGCCACGGACGGCACCGTCTGCATCCTAGCCAAGTTCCAGGCCTTCTTCACCATCACGTACGCCAGCCGAGGCGGCTTCCAGGTGAGATCCGCTTGGGCACCGCCATCTTAAAAGAGTGGAAAGTGATGCGTTATCAGGCACCGTTCGCATCGTTTCTCATTCGCCATGCAAGCGTGCCTTGCGTGAGAAACGTTCGAAAAACGTTAGTTTTAGCGAGTCGTTTTTCAAGCACACGGTTCCGAAATCCACGAACGGTACAGCTGACCCGTTCCGTGAAACCGTACGTCGAATTTGACATGCTTTAACGAATCGTGAAAGTGGCGCGGAGGAGCTCGGTGGTCGGGAGAAGCGCGTGCCCCCGTTCGGAACGGTCGCAAGTTTGATGAGCTCCCGAGGAGCGTCTGCAACGGCTTTCACCGGCCGTGGTTCATCTACTGAAATGTCTCAGGATTCCTACCGAGTGGTTCTGCCGTCTCTGCCCACAGGTACTGAAGTTTTGAACTCTGTATTTGCGCATTGTGACACCTCCGGGCGCCCATACAAGATAGACGATTTTCGAACACAAATGGAACGCCATGGCGTTCTACAAGATTTGATTGGAGCTGGCCAGTACCAAATGAACGATGTTTGGCTTTTCACGTTTAACTCTCTGACTGCGAAGAGGAAGCTTCTTGCGGCAAAAGAACTGGTCGTGAAAGAAAAACGTTGTTTGCTCATCGACCCTGACGAATGCGAGGTCCGACTACGACTGCACTGGACACCGATTCACATAAGCGACGATGCAGTACGGAGGGCCCTGGAGCCTTACGGGAAGGTGAACGAAGTGTCCCGGGACACGTGGAGGGTGGAAGGATTCCAGAATGTTCAAACGACAACGAGATTTGTTAAAATGAACCTCAAAGAGGGCATAACAAAAGATCATCTCCCGCACCAGCTGGTTATGTTCGGCAGCAAGGTCCTGGTCGTCGTTCCAGGGAGGGCACCGCTCTGCCTCCGATGCAAGAGGACAGGCCACATTCGTAGAGAGTGCCGCGTTCCCCACTGCGACAAGTGCAATCGTTATGGCCACGAGCAAGAGGACTGCATTCGAACATATGCCACCGTGATGCTGCCTGCTCCTGGGGAAGACAACTCGGAGTTCTTCATCGATGGAGAAAAAGCTGAGAAAGGCGAAGACGGCATTCGACATCCAGTCACTACCGATGACTCAAAGGTTACAGACGGACGACAGGAACACCTAGAACGAAAGAATGACACCACCTTGTCAAGTTGTCCAACTGGCCGTGAGGGAGACTCTGCGCGAGAGGACGACACTTTGGCGTCTAATTGCCAAGCTGGTCGTGAAATATACCTATCCCGGAAGAACGACACCATCTCATCTGGTCCTCTGGCCGGTCGAGAGGGAGACCTAGCACGGGAGAGCGACACCATCTTGCCAAGTTGCCTGGGAGCTGACAACCCTGCGGTTGGGAACGCCAGTCCGGACGTCGACGGTGCTGCATCGGACCCCTCAAAGGACCAGTCAACGAGGCCAGCTTGCATGAGCGATCACCATTCGGACATCACGTCCGAAGACGACCTGGAAATGGATGAAGGTGCTGACCCCTCAAAGAGGCCTTTAGACCTCGTAGAGGAAGGGCCTGACTGGACTCCAGTTCACGGGAGGAAGAAACGGTGCAAGCCCCGCCCTCCCCCGGGCAATGGACGAGAGCGAACCTCGTAGAAGGTGGTTACTTTCTGGTTACATCCAAACTGCGAACGCTTTAGGTCATGTCTTTCTTAGATCCATTTTCGCTTTACTAGTGCCAGTTGCAAAGTTACACCTGATGTAGCTTCCATGTGAGGTTGTTCATATGTCGCTTTCCAATGCACGCTTCCTCCTCCAATCCCAACAATGCTTCCGACTAAAAAAACTGGCCCTTCCACTAAAGGTTTAACATTTGGAACCCTCAACATTAGAGGACTAAACTCCACTCGAAAACAATACCAGCTGCTACGTTTGCTCCACGAGGAGCAATTAGACTTTTTGGCCTTACAAGAAACAAAAATGGCGGAGGAAGAGCAGGTGACGAGGGCGTTACAGCCTTTTCTTACCTCGTACGAGGTATGCGTAACGCATGCAGTTGGCACTGCAGGTGGTTGTTTTTTATTCCTTAAAAAGTCTGTTCCCCTTTCAAATGTGAGTGTCATTACCGATGACCATGGGCGTTTTATTTTGTGTGACTTTAATTTGTTGGAAGGGCAGAGGAGAGTAATCTGCATCTATGCCCCTTGTAAAGTTAGTGAACGGGAGGCATTCTTCCGAGGGATTTCACATTACATTAAATGTGATCGGACCACTATACTTCTAGGCGACTTTAATTGCATTTGTGAAGCAAGAGACAGAACTCCATTCGCGCGCGTAAGTGATTCTAGTGCAAATGTCCTGAGTGAAATAATCGCTGAGAATAATTTGGAAGATGTTTTTTACATTTCAAAAAGTATAAAGAAAATTCAGTTCACACACTTTCAGAAATCCTCTCACGCACGCCTTGACCGCATTTATTTTTCTAGCGACATTGTAAATAACATTGGATCTTATCACGTAAAACCTGTGTTCTTTAGTGACCACTGTCTCGTAAATGTCACAATTGGAGAAAACCAAACCCCTAGGTCAAAGTTTAACTGGCGATTGTGGAAGTTGAACGCAGGCCTACTTAAAGACAAGACATTTGAAGCTGCAGTGGACGATCTCCTTGATAGAATGGTTGAGCAAAGCGGGATGTGCCCCTTAGAACGGTGGGAGCGGTTCAAAGAGGAGGTTAAAATGTCAGCAATTGAAAGATCGAGCACGCTCAAGTTTTACGCCAGGGCAGAAGAGCGAAAACTGCAGCACAATTTAGAGGCCCTGAGTGAAACAGAATGTACTAATCCTGGTCAAGGAGTAAAAGACATAGAAAATATCAAAGCCCAACTCGAACACTTTCAGAAAGCGCGATATGAAGGCGCTGTGGTCCGCGCAAGAACGCAAAGGTTTCTTTGCGGCGAACAACCTACCAAGCAAGCTTTGATAGCTGAAAAAAGATATGCAATGTCCAAAGAAATAACCGAAATCGAGAGGAAAGGCACCCTCACCGCGGATAGCACAAACATCGAGGAAGCGTTTGTAGAACATTACCGACGGATTTTTTCACTCACTTCAGGAAGGCACGATTGCGAAATGAAAGACCTCCTGTCTCTTATGCCGAGGCTAGACGACAACACGCGGGAATGGCTTGAGGAACCCATCAGCGTTGAAGAAGTAGAAAGAGCAATAAGCGACCTGCCCGGGGGTAAAACGCCAGGCCCTGACGGGCTTTGTTCAACTTTTTACAAAAAATTCAAAAGTCGGCTGTGTCTCATTTTGCTCGCTGTCATCGAAGAATCTTATAAGAGAAAAGTACTGCCGCTGTCTTTCATGAAAACTCACACGGTTTTAATTCCAAAATCTGAGGATATCGCCAAGTTGCGTCGTGTAGAGGGCTATAGGCCAATAAGTCTCTGCAATGTAGATTATAAAATATATGCAAAAATTCTCAATAGAAGGCTGCAGCATGTAATATGCCAATTGGTAGGCGATCATCAAACATGTGGTATAAAGGGTAGAACAATACAAACAAATATTCACGTAGCCAGAAGCATTCTAGACTGTTGTACCGATAGAGAAGATCAGATTGCCATGCTACAGATTGACCTCGAGAAGGCATTCGACCGTGTGAACCATAAATTCCTCTGGGCCATTTTGCGACATGTTAACATTGGACACGTTTTATATGACGGAGTGCGAATGGCATATCAGAACTGTTCCACACGACTGAGAGTAAACCGCAACGTAACTGAGAGCATTCCCGTACTGTCCTCAGTGCGGCAGGGTTGCCCCCTCTCACCGTTGTTGTTCGCACTTTATTTGGAACCTCTCTGTTTGAGCATCGCGAACAACGCGAATGTACAAGGTTTTCAGTTCAACGCACTCGAAGTCAAGGTATTGGCGTACGCCGATGATGTTGCAGTTTTCTGCAGCGATAAAAGAAGTGTGACCAACGCCATCGCATTGGTTAAACACTTTTGCGACGTTAGTGGTGCGGCTGTGAATCTAGAAAAATGCTACGGTTTTTGGCACGGCTCATGGGCTACAAAGCCATTGGAGTTCGAAGGAATCAAACGGGTGCTTGACGCCTACAAAATACCTTGGTGTACCACTCCAGAATATGCACAATCCTGGTGTTTACTGGTCCGAAGCAACAGCCGAACTGAAACGGAAGGTATCACGCTGGCCGAACCGTGACTTGTCAATTTTTGCGAGGGCAACGGCCTGTAACATCTTCCTTGTCGCCAAGCTCATGTATGTGCTTCAAGTGTTGCAATGTACTCGAAGTTGTATGCAAAAAGTCCATAGAATCTGTGCTATGTTTATCTGGAAATCAAGTTGGGAACCGATGAGAAGAGATAACCTTTTCCGTCGCATCCCTCAGGGGGGACTGGGCCTTGCACACCTGTTTGTACGAAAACTTGTGTCACAATTCCTTTTTCTACGAGACATCGAACAACCATTTATGCGCACTGCCATTCAAACAAAATTGGCGTGGCACTTGCCTACATTTTTGGTCTCAAGCTGCGGGGAGCAACCATCCAAAATAGGAGGTTTTCTCAAAGAGGTTGTCGATACGTACAATTTTTTGTCAGTTCGCTTTTCCAGGGACTTTTTGTCATCTGTAAATAGGAAGGGCCTGTCTAATGCAATGTATGACAACTAGTCTTTTTCCAGAGCCCTTGTATCGCGCAGTGCACAGACAAAGCCTTGGCCAGGATTTTCTTTGTCGTGTTAAGAAAATGGCGATCCCGCCGCGTGCAAAAAGTTTCTTCTTTAAACTTCACACCTCGACCCTCCCAGTGAAAGCATGGCTCCACGAGAAAGGAATTTTTGTTCCTTGGACCACCAACTGCCTACTGTGTAAAACGCCTGAGACCATAGAGCACGTATTTATTTTTTGTTGGGACGCCCTTTTGTTTTGGGACGTGTTACAGAGGACATTGAAAAAGGACTTAGAAATAACGTCACAGTCGATTCGTTTTCTTCCAATTACTTCTCATGAACTTGTGCCGTACGACCTCATAATGCTCGTTGGTCTACTCTATACAGTATCTGGTGCTCCAGAATGGCAGTTAGAAACGCAGATCTTAACCCACGGCCAGTTGAAGCATACTTCGTGGAATTTGTAACACAAATACGTTGTATCTACACGGATCAAGACGACCCGCCTTCGTGGGTAAAGAAATGTGAAAAACTATGTGAAAACTCCAAACGTTCTTAATGATGTGTGCTAAGCAAATGTATATGTAGCCTGAGCATGCCGTTGGTGAATAAAACTGTTATAAAGAAGAAAAAAAAAAAGAGATCGGTGGCCGAGTGGGCTAAAGCGCACACCCAGCTCGACGCGCGTGGAGCGAAAGCTCGCGCTGCAGAACCCAGGGATCCTGGGTTCGAGCCCCACCCCTGCCCGTTTCGATCTGGATGAGCATCGTACCGGCGTGCGGTCGTGTATCACTACTGCGTGGTGCACGTTAAAGACCCCAGGCTAGCGGTTGTACCGCACTGGCTAAATTGCTCATCTACAGCGTGTGACTCGTCGCAACTTTAATGGCTGACCAACTACACGCTGTATAAATTTCCCCACAACCCCAATTATTATTATTGAAAGTGGCGCGACCAGGTTTAACGGTGGCGCCATCGTCTAGTAAACATATCAAACATTCTGCGAGGTGTAAATCCGTGGCTGAGTGGCGGACACCGTGGTGGCGGCTCGTGTTTCCGGCGTACGACTGATGTAAACAAGACGGCCGACATAACATTTGCGGGTCAGAATTTCAAGAACTGCGAAGCTAGATATAGAGTAAAAAGTTTTTGAACGATCGTAAAGGTATGTGGTGTGTCTCCGTCATCTTGAACTTGAACGAACGTTCACGTTGTGTGCCGTCGAACCAAATCATTTCTTGACGGTGACAGCGCAGGAAAAATCAATCTCACAGCGGACACTCAGGAAGACAAGCACACGCGCTGAACTTACAACTCTTGTGTATTCGACTACTTCATTTTTCTCTTCTTTTTTTTTTGTTTTTTTTGTTTTCTCTTTTACTGTTCTTTTGCCTTCTCTTTAGAATTTTCCTTTGTATTTCGTGCTACTTCTTCTACTTATCACGTTCTGAAAAGTCAATCCAGACGTTGAAGAGAAAAATGAAGCAGTCGAATACACAAGATGACACAAGAGTTGTAAGTTCAGCGCATGTGCTTGTCTTCCTGAGTGGCTGGTGTAGGGTGCCTTCATGTGCGCTTTGCTTAGGGTGGAGACATCTGGCCATTTTGTCCCACACTTCTATTTTTATTTTTTGTTCAGGAGCGCGTGAAAGAGCGTGTCCCTGCACGCTTCTGTGGCACTGACTGTGCTGTGGCGACATTTTGTTTTCGCCGATTTCTTTGTATTTTACCCGTGAGCGCGTGCTGTCGGCATCGGGTACTACAAAGGGTGGCACCACCCTAAACAGAAAGACATCGAGGCACCCTAGGCTGGTGTGAGATTGATTTTTCCTGCGCTGTCACCGTCAAGTATGGTTCACCAACTCGCCCAAGCTTCCATCCTATCAAATCATTTCCTCTAGTCGCGGTCGCCACGGCAGCTAGTCTGCCCGCAGATCGCAAACATTTACTAGCATGCGCAGTTTACAGCATTCACGATCGCTTGCCATTGTGAGCAGTCCACGAAATGATTTGGTTCAACCTCTCAAATGAAGCAAACTAACAGGACGCCAAATTGCCTCCCGCTGTCCTAAGCCTAACGCTCGGCTGGGTCGGCAACTCGGTGAAGGCATCGCCGAATCAACCGCCATCTTTTTTTTTTACCCGTGTCGTGAACGGTACGTGCTGGCTGCGTTGCGGTGACGACTCCAGCGGCCGGAATGGGAGAAATGAACGAGAAGAGCCTTCCAACTTCCCGAACGACTCGCGCGCGCATGCGCAGTGGCGTCGCCGATGCGTTCGAGGGCGAACCGTTCGTGTGGAAACGACCTGCTAAAACTCCCTAGTGATTCCCCCAACTTTTTTACATAACAAATAATAAACAAGCGGTGTTGGGAAGTACTTAAAGTACTATTTCGATCAGGTTTACAAACCATGGAATTTGCTTGAAGTACATTCCCTGAGCATGTACTCTTACTTTACTGAAGTATAGTTTCTTATTCTTTCTGTGGAAAGTACAACTCCCGACTTCAAACTACATTCGCCAACTTTTAAAAACAAAAATAGCGTATTGTCTTGTTAAAACGCGCTATCGTGCTTTCGAGACGTCATCTGGTCATTTCTCTGAGTTAAGCGGTGACGTCAATAAGACCGAAGACCGTGTTAAATGTACCTGTACTTTACTGTGAAAGTTTGTATTTATATTGCTTTACTTCCAGTGCAATACATCCGGTGTGTTTACAACTTTACTTGAAGTAGATAACCTTTTTTTTTTTACTTTGTACTTTACTTCGAGTACTTTTTAGATGTACTTAACGCAACACTGTAAACACGCAAACGCCGTCTGCAAAATCAAGCTCAGGCAGTGCTAGACCTCAAAGTAGAAATAATACATCCGCAGTACATCACTGAACAAAAAACACAAAAGTACAAAACAATTATGCACGCAGAAGCAAAACCAGGTATTAAAGCATTTCTGTAAAAACACAAGCCGCTTTATATTTGGATAGCAGAATTCCGCTAACTGATCAAAACCTTATACACTCTTGTTACTGTAAAAAAAGAAAACCTCAAAAGTAATTTGCTGATTTTTTGCGGTAGTTTCTAATTTACTCAGTTACTTTCCATTTGAACAATTTCTACTTTACTAAAATTACTTTTGAGACCGAATATCAGTAACTTATTAATTTAATTACTTTTTTTAGTAACTTGTACATGTCTGGGCTGCGGCCAAATTTAAATTAGCGATTACGTTGCTCCTACTGATAAAACCGAAAGAAAACTTGGCACACAATTTTTGAGGTACATTGTTACTTTACTAGTTTTTCCTCATTCAAACAAAAACATGAGCCATTCCACCCTGTTAAAAGGTGGATGACCAGCGAAGCTGTTTAGCACACGACACAGACGTTACAGAGAATTGTGGACAAAGGTACGAACACATTCATTGTCTTGATCGGTGGTCATCGTGACGAAAGGATACGCACACACATTTATTTGATGCGTTCTCCGCCCTGCGACGTTCGTCGTCTTGTCTCGTTTGCCGCGTGCGCTTGGCGTTTTGTGCATGATCCTCATTAGCGCGCGTGGTGTTCGCCTCCCGCCGCCGCTGCTGACATTCTCGGTGCCGTTCCCGCCGTTGCTCTTCGTAGGCGCGTTGCTCTTCGGGAGTCCGGACTAAAGCCCCTTCACGTTTCAAAAGCTGCGCAAGGTGCGTCGATGCACGAGGCACGTGCAACGTGCAGCCCTTGGAAAGATCATGGCGGCATAGCGCAGCATTGAGCTAGATTTCAGACTCCATCTTCTTCCCAGAAGTGGCGCGCGGCACGTGTCTCGAGCATTTCCACAGCGATGGATGGCGCCCCTTTTCCCAGGATAGAGGGGCTTCAGTCCGGACTAGAGTTCCTGTATAGGGAGTATTCACTGAACGCCATATTTGTGGGTGCTCTTTAAAGCGCATGCTCAGAGCGAGGTCCCATTAATAGGCTGCTAAGACCGGCAATCTTGATGGTGTGGAGTGCACGCTGAAAAAGAACTGTGGAAGCTCGCCGCCAGCACGCGCTCAGAATACTCCCTATAGGGAGCATTCACTGGCGGCCATAGCTGTGTGCGCGAATGCTGAGTGCGTGCTGATGGCGAGCTTCCATTCCGCACCATCAAGAGTGCCTGTCTTAGCAGCCTATCGATGTCAGCTCGTTCTGAGCATGCGCTCTAAACAGTACCCACAAATATGGCGTCCAGTGAATACTCCCTATAGGCTCCCTACGGAAGCAAGAGTTGCGCGTCTGTTTTCCACGTGCCGCCGCGCTGCTATTCGCCGAGGTACGATCACGTGAGGAGCCGGATCAAGCGCCGTGCAGGAAAGTAGACGTTGCACGCGCCCCGCCGTACGTACCCCTGCTTCTGAACGCCCGCGCGCCTCGAACGCGCGGCGCCGCAATTCGCCGAATTCAGTCCCGTGAGGAGCAGACTCTGAATGCCGTGCAGGAAAGCCGACGCTACGGGGATGAACGCGCAACTCTGTCTCCCATAGGAAGCCTATGCAGGAACTCTAGTCCGGACTATATGCGGCCTCCCCCTTAGGACGAGAGAAGTGAAGTAGACCTATTGCTAAATTACCCAAGCATCAAGGAGAATGCAGGGAATGGTGCTCCACGCGCCGCAAGTGCCGGCGTCTGCAGCAGTAACTGTTCTAAAGCCAAAGCCTACAACAAATGGCACCTTGCACGCGCGTTCGTCTACGCTTTATTTTGGGTTATTTACTTCAAATCTTTTGTATGGGAAAGGCGTGCGCGTGTGGCGCCTGAGGCGGTGCGAGCGTAGAGATTTTGGTCACGCACACGGAAAAATCCACGGAACCCTAGCCATAAACAGCTTCGCTGTAAAACTTCTTCAGCTTCCTTTGGATGAGCGTTCTTTCCATGTAAAGATGAAAATTGACGCGCATCTAAAGACGCAGACACCATTGCATTATATCACTTTAAAAATGAATTGCCTAATTCTTGTTTTGTTTCGGTGTAGCGTTGTTAAGACGCGTGCGTATCTCTCGCCCCCGTTGGCCAGACGGTGACCCTAAAGATGCCCGAGACGGCCAAGAGCAAGGGCATCTGTGCCTCGGACGACCAGGAGCCCGTACTCGAGCTCACCTGGCCCGTCTTCCGATTCATTCTAATGTTCTCCAGGGTAAGTACTCCCGTCCCGCACCGAAGACCAGTCACTGTCGTGGACACCGTCAAGTAAACGCTTTTCGCAAAGAGGAGCAGGCGCACTTAACTGTAGTTATACGCTAAGCCACAATTACCACACAATACTTGCGGACAACATTCTGCGGCTATGCAGTCGAAGCTATGGGCGCACGTGCGTTTTAGCACCCATCAAAGCTGCGCGCGCGCACTCTTCTTCCGAAATAGTTGTCCGAGAGTATAGGTGGTATGTAGCTGCAGTTAAAGGTGACCTAACTGTGGTTGGGACCCGTGTAACGTGGGTATTACCAAGCGAGCACAGTTTTAAAGTGACCCACGGCCGTGCGATGCGGATTGCGGACTTAGCGGGATGCGTGAACCATGCTTCATGCCATACGCTTATTTTCACCAATTAGAAAGTAAATTTGTGAGTTTTAGGTAACTCGTTTTCACATCAAGAACCCTAGTTAAGCAACCAGACTCCTCGCGAAGCATTACGTACATACGTTATCTTATCGAAACGTACACGTTTCAAACGCCAAAAGCGTCGTTCCTACCTTCGACAACCCAATATCGTAAGAACTACTTCGCGCGACGTATGAACAATGCGTAAAATTTTTTTTCTTGAGGTAACAACGAGTATAATTGGTCTATTTTTGCAATCCCTGACGCCCGCCGTGACCGGCACTTTGTTACCAAAAATATTTCTATTTTTTTCTCAGTCGCCCTATTTGTAGGAATCCTTGAAAGTATTGGCAGAAACGTCCGGTAAAGTATTAACCATATGTAAATGATTTGGCGAGCGACAAGGCAAGCGACGGGCGACCCGCTTCACTCTCGCTCGGTCAGTCGCGCGACGAGACAAACAAGCGATGGGAGCAAGCGACCAAGGCGATGAGCGACGTTTTCTAGAAATTCAAAAACCGAGCGACGCGACGAGCGACAGTGAGAAATTTCCGTCGCACGTCGCTGACTCTCGTCGCTCGTTTCGTCGCTCGTTCAGTCGCTTATATGCGGTTCCGTCTTAAAGGGGTCATGAAACGATTTTCCTACTTCTTCCTCCTTAGCTTTAATCCTCAACTCAAATGCGAATTGCGAAATCACGTCGTCGTGACATTCATCGGCACCGGTACGATGACTCCTGGCTTCCACCGTGCTTTTTATGCCCACCATAGAGCTTGTCATTCACCAGTGACGATAAGTTCCGTCAGGGCACTCATTGGCCACGAACGCGAATCCAAATCTTCGTCGACGGATTGATTGTTGACGAGCGCATACGTCCGAGTAACGCAGTTCTTGTGTCCAATGCGTGAGCTGGGCTCTGCTGACGTCAGTTTGGCGCCGGTGACGCGCTTTTGGAGCCGCGGATGTATCATAGTGAAAAGGCGGAGAGCTTTCGAAGGCAAGAAGGTACAAAATAGTTTGCTATGTTTTCAAATGCTCGTACCGAAAAGCTGGCTTTTGACTTTCTAGCCTCTTTCTTTTGGCCAACTAAACGATATGCGATTAGTAAAGTCCCAATTTAAAATCATCTATCCCAGCCCAGAATTTGTTTCATGGCCCCTTTAGCTCTGGAGCAATAAAAAAAGTATGGCTCAATATTTCTTAGTATCGAAGCACGCAGAAAACGAAGTTCGAGTTTCTTTGCGGACACTGCAGACCCCGGCGGTGAACGACAAGGGTTCGTGGAAAGTGAGCGGCCTGGAGATCCAGTTCAACACCAACTCACCCTTCTTCCCCGGAGCCACTAACCGTGAGTGCGGGGGACCTGCGTCAACATCTCATAGGCCGACATTAAAGACCTTTTTCACCGGCGGAAGGTCTAGCGGATATTAAACGCCACTTCGTACTAAAGCCCCTCGATGTGTTTGCGTTTGTCATGCGAGGTGTCAAATGCGCCAGTGCACGAGGCCTGTTGTCTCGAGCGGCGCTTGGAAGCAAATAGCGGCCCAGCGCTGAAATGAGCGGTATTCGGAAGCGAATCGGCGGCGGAGCACCCGCCAGTGAGACGTGTCTTATGCGTTTCCACAACATTGGTTGGCGGTACTTGTAAAAAAACGCCTTTATCAAGGGGCTTTACTTCGTACGACTAACGTACGACGCGAGCCGGTCTACGCGTTCTGGCTTTGCCACTGAGTCTGACGCAGTTGCGGTATTATTACTGTTGGGCCAAAAGAAGGTCGGTAATGGGCCACGATCAATTTTGGATTTAATTAATAGCATGGCGTGCAGGTTGGATGGCGGATACTACGTTAATAACGGTGACGCAGACCTTGCGTCGCACATAAAGCGCCCTGGTGTTGGTTGACCCGCAGTAAGAGTGTGGTGCAGTGCTGTGGCCGTTACCGAAATTAAGTAACGGAATAGCGTTAATCATTAGCTCGTCAAAAATTAACGCGTTACTGAGATTCCTTACCGTCCTACAATCGTAACAAAATACCTTTACCGTTACTTTATAGCTTTATACTTTATAAGTAACGAAATAGCGTTACTCGCGTAATCGTATAAACGATGGTGATGATTGCGTTTGACCGGCAGCACAATTTCAAACACGGATGTGTTTGATGTTTCCGTGGAAACACGGATGTTTAAGATGTTTACGTGTAAATGCGTAAACATCTTAAACATCTTTCCGTGTGCAAATCTTTGACTCGAGTTTCACGGCGCACCACTGATAAAGTGACCATTCGTCCCGCGACTTGCGGGACTGTCCCGCATCGAGGGATCGTGTCCCGCGTCCCGCAAGATATACCAAAATCTTTAAAATGTCCCGCACTTTACACTGTCGTAAAATTCCCAATTTAACTCGGGGTGCTGCCGAACAACGGGGCGGGGAAAGGAGGTCGCTGGTTATTATGTGAATCGCGATGGTACGCCATTTTCTCCCTAAGCATTGCGGGAAGCGACCGTCGTTCTTGCAGGACGAAGAGGCACAAACGCGTATGCGCCGTTGCGTCTCTTCTTTTAGTGGAAACACGTTGGAAGAGAAAATATCTTGCCAAAAGTTGAAGCAAAACAAGCTCCGTCCATGCAAAAAAAAAATTGCCGTAAAAAGTTTTTTTTTTTTTATGAAGACGGTTTTACAACGCAAAACGCCTGCAACTCACAAGAAAAAACAAAAACAAAACAACCTAGGGTTTTAAATTTAAGGAGGAGCAGATTGGTAAACGTAAGCATCACACAGGAAACAATAAGCCAAAAATGACATGACGTTCTTTATTTTTTAGGTGCATTGAGTTATGCTGCAGTGAATTTTTATGTTCTCAACTTAGACGTATTTAATAACATATTTGGCATTAAAACTAAAAGAATGAATCACTGGGAGAGAAAATTATTGCCGCAATACAGCTTGCACGTGTGTAATATGCCTTCGAACAACACAAGATATTAATTCTGTCAACACAGCCACATCACATTTCGTGGTGTGCGTGTAATTAAATACATTTACTCTAATAGTCTCTTTTTAGTTGCCACAGTCGTGATAAAAGTCCTCCTCTTACCAACTTCGAAAATTTCATTTTCAAGCGCTTCTATCCTTCTGTGTAATGTGTCAGTGAGTTATGATGCTCCTTCGCCGGTTGTACGAGTACGAGACCGTCACCAGATGCTAAATATATCAATAAAAAACTTTAAAAAAAAATTATGCACGCTAACAATTGGCATGGATATGACGTGTTTCGAATATACAGGCTGTTTCACTAACGATGAAAATAATAATATTAAAATAACCTTTATAAAACTTTTCTTTTTTTCGGGGTAACGTTATTGGCCGCAGCGGTGTTTCCTGGGCGTTTTGTGCTTTTCGCCGGTTTAGGCATGGTTCACGTAGTGAGATTTTGCTTGCGATTTCGCAGTTGCTACATTACGCACCACAACTTCCTATGCGCTTTTTTTTTGCTGTTTTTGTTACACGAGCTACGTTGCAACTGCGAAATTGCAAGCAAAAGTTGCACCATGTCAATCAGGCCTGTACCTAAGACTGCATTCACACTGATGTTCGAATCGCAACCGCGAAGCGAATCCGCTCCTTTTCTTCATCGACTGCGCGTGAATTCGTATTGCATTCTTAAAGAGATACTACAACGAAACTTTCGCGCTTCATACCGGACACACCAATCTCTTGTTGAAAAAGTCTCGAAAAGGAATTTTAAAACGATTTAAACTATTAGCAAAAGGCACTAGGTATTACAAACGTCGCTAAAGCCTCGTTTGTAATGCCCGTCTAGGAACCTTGACAGGTGGTGACGATGCCTGTCTCGCCTGGGAGCCTTCATGTGCGCTTTGCTAGGGTGATGCCACCCTTTGTAATACCACTCGCCGACAAACCAGCAGCCATTTTGGTCCTCGGCGATAATCCGTTGGCTTATAACCCTCCCGGAAACAAGCACCTTATCTCACGAGTTCGGAGCAGCGTTGTGGAACCCACGGAGGGAGGATTAGCATTTCCCCCCTCGGATAGGAGGACCGATGGATACAAAGGCCACTTTCGGGCGCACGGGGAAACAATGAGGAACAAAATGGCGGTGGACGAGGATGTGGGAAAGGGAAACAGGCAGTCGGCATCACCTTATGCGAAGCGCACATGAAGGCACCCTAGTCTCGCCTAGAACTTTACATGCCCTGAACCTGCCCTCATCCCGCCTAGAAAGCCTTCATGTGCGCTTCGAAGCGCACATGAAGGCACCCTAATCCCGCCAGCTCCCCGGCCACCACGAGAGAAGAGAAGGAGGAGAAGATGTGTCCCTGACGTCGCGATTGTCCCTCTACAACATTATTGAAGATTAACCCGTCACTCAAAATTCGTACAAAAGCAGCTTTTTGGTTAGTTGCGGTGGCCCAATCGCAACTAACCAAGGCCCGTTCCAGTGGACCTTAGTTCCAACTATAATAGAATGCCTGTTCCCCTTTCCCACACCCTCTTCCACCGCCATTTTGTTCCTCTCATTGTTTCCCCGTGCGCCGGAAAGTGGCCTTTGTGTCCATCGGTAATCCCATCCGAGGGGGAGAATGCTAATCCTCCCTCCGTGGGTTCCACAACGCTGCTCCGAACTTGTGAGATACGGTCCTTGTTTCCGGGAGGGTTATAAGCCCCACGGATTATCGCCGAGAGCCAAAATGGCTGCTGGTTTGTCGGCGAGTGGTATTACAAAGGGTGGCATCATCCTAGCAAGGCGCACATGAAGGCTGCCTAGTTCCAACCACCGAAGCGGCCGAAGCACGCCATCGATCGGGCCACCTCAACTATACCCCAAAGCTGCTTTTGTACGAATTTTGAGTGACGGGTTAAACTTCTGTAATCTTATAGAGGGACAATAGCGACGTCTGAGACAATCAAAAGAGATTCTCGGGGAGAGGGGAGTTCCTCCTTCCCCTCTTCTCTCATGGTGGCCGGAGAGCTGGAAGCGACACAGGCATCGTCACTATCTACGAAGGTTCCTAGACGGGCATTAGAAACGAGGCTTCAGCGACATCCACCAAGTGCATGCCCTTTGCTAATCGTTTAATTCGTTTTAAAATTCCTTTTCGTGCCTTTTTTATCAAGATATTGGTGCGTTCGCAACCGCTTTGCGGATGCGGTTGAGTCACCAGTGTGAATGCGGCATAAGGGGGGTGGGGGGTTAGGACTTTTGACACCCCCTCCTTTCCTCCTCTCTCTCAGCGCGCGGTGTGAAACATTTCGGGACCCCTCCTTTTCAAACCACTCAACCACACTCGCTCTCCCCGCGCAAACTTGCACCCCAGAACTAAGCCATTTCCTAAAGGGGAAGTGAGAAAGGAACTGATTCATTCTTTTGGCGCAGTGGTTCTCAACCATTGCTGTTTCACTGGCCCCTTGTAGATCGACATAGATGGTGGAGGATCCCGTTCGTGGTGACGGGAAGTGAAATGTATAGGTTAGTTAGGATAATGATTAAATAAATGGAAGGCAAGTAAGAAGCAGACTCCTCTAATTGACATACACCCGAGAAAACTCAACCGAAAGTTGGAATGTTTCTTCTCAATCTAAAATCAGACAACTTTTCTTGCCGGGCTTGAGTGGTGAGCCAGGGCTTCGCGACCACGGACCCCCATTTGAAAACCACTGTTTCGGCGGTTGAAGACCGGTTGATCAGTTGAAGACCGTCACAGGCCTACAACTACTCCCAGCTAGCTCCAATAAATAGATGAAAAAAAAAAAAAAAGAAGAGGACCACTTTATGCAAAAGTGTTTGCGTCACTAAGGCGGAAAGGGGGCGGGGGGGAGGGGTGCCCTTGTGACGCCACTGGACACCAGTAGCCTTTATTTCGTTCGTCGTGGCGCGATCGATGCTTGGTCCCCCTGCCCGTATTTGTGACGTAGGATGCGGTGTCGCTGGTTTGCAGCGGGCAAGCGGACGGCTCGCACCGGCGACAACGTGACGCTCTTCGAGACTCCGATGGGAGAGTCGTACTTCTGCCCGACGCCCAAGCTGGTGGCGCTCACAGACTCCCGTGGCGGTCGCAAGGTGGCCGTGCAGTTCAAGGACCTCCGCATCCAGGCTTACGAGTTCCAGGGAACCTACGGCCCAGGTTTGTGCGTCTTTTTACGTGAAGAGGTAGCAACTACCCTATCTTCCCGACTATTAGCCCCGAGAGCGAACACAAGCGTCACTGCGGTCGCCGCGCCCTGATTGGGTGAGGTGTACCGTGACGTCAGGGGGAGTACTCCGCTCCGCGATCTCGCATCGGCTCGCTTCCCAGCACCGGTTTCCTGGTTTGGCGTTGTGTGCCGCAAGCTGTTCGAGGAGCTGGATTTCGTTTACCCGGTGTACAAGACGTTGAGCTAGGCCGATATTGACGTGCTTTCGTACATTTTATAAGCCTGCTCGTCCCTTTTACCTTTAAAATTGGGTTACAAATCCCGAAAGCAATCGGCGCAGGCAATTCCGCCGATGAACCTGCCCGTCCGTCCACACGACACAAGGCAATATTGCGAGGGGTCGGTGAAGCGGTGGCGCAAGTGTTTCAGACGCTGGAATTCTGTTCCTTGCACGTTCATGATTTAGGGCGATATTACATCACACTTTCAAGGCATTTGAAGTGGCATTTATATCATGGGCCTTTGGATGGTCGGCAAATTAGCTCGCGACCCTGACTCTGCGCTTCCACTCTGCATGCGCTGGTTCGCAGATGTTTTAAAGGCCCTGCGTCTGATCATCTTTGAAGTGCTGGTGGAACAGGGTTGCTTTACATAAATGTAGCTTCTTCGTGAATTAATTATATAGTTTATACACGTATGCAGGCATATTTCTTAGAAGATGCACAATTACTGGAAATTAGTTTGTATGGCAGCAGCAAAAACGGCCGAATTGCCCCCAGGTGCCTGTATGATATGTATTGAACTGCCCAAAATATGCACAGAAATAGTGCTGTAATTTGGAATGTTTATACTTTTTCCTGACATTCTTTATTAAAAAATAGACGGTTTAGTATGAATTGTGATTTCCAATTGAAAGAGACTGCTACAGGTCCCCAAAAGCTTCCTCAGCCTCCAAACTCCCTACAGCTGGACTCTCTGACAAAAGAGGAAAACAGGAGTAAAAGCAAGCATTCGAACGTCTGTCCAGCGGTAGATGCAGCACCAGTAGCAGAAAAGGTGGAACCTGTGAAGGGCGACAGTCTGCGTGAGAAAAGCTTCTGGTATTTTAGCTTCAGGACACTTCGATTTAAGTAAAATCTTAATTTTAGGGCTTAAGGGACTAATAACGAGCTAGACACCTTCGCTTACGTTTGTTATACATTGCTTGAGGGTTGATATAAACAAGTCCACAAATATCACCCGTGTAGTCCTTTGAAATACTATCCGAATCCAGCGAAGGTTAAATGCGAGCAATGTATATATTAAATGTTCCTTCTTTGTTTTGTTTTACTTTGCTCCTGCACTTGGGCTGTCTTACTTCTGATTCTCTCCCCATGGCCCAGACTGTTTTTAGCATGTTGCTCGAGGAGCATGCAGCTTTTCTGCTTCGGCGATCTTGTTTAAAAACAGAGATACAAAATAAAAATAGTATACATAACCTGCCAATTTATTCACACCATCAACAGCATTTATTGTGCGAGATGTAAATCTATAATCATGCTCCTGCAATTGTGGCCATATTTCTTTATGTTCAAATACCAGCTGCGATTCATGCGTTGCCTGCCCTGTCAAGCATGCTTAAAATGTTGGTTGAAGTTTCGCCTGTAGCTACAGGCCATACCTAAATAAAGGCTCATATAAAAATTTACACTTCCTACGGAAAACACGCCTAAAAAATATTAAATAGAAACGAGCGCGCCGACAGCTAGCGTCGTCACAACCTCCACAGGGCGAGCGGGGCGAGTCGAGGAAAAATTCTCGCCTCGCCGTGACGTCACCCCGGTTCGCCGTAAGGGGGCGCCACGCGAACTTCTCGGGGCTAATAGCACTCGGTGTATGCGGAGGGCAAGTTCGTCTGGTTCTTGCACATGGGTTGCGATGATGTCAAAACGCCAAACTCTTAATGGCTGACTGAAAAAAAAAAAATAGTTGGGCAGACTTTAATGCTTCTAGCATTGAGGTTTATCCATTATCCTTCCAATCCAAGCCAATCAGAGCTCGGCGTCCTTCTGACGTCACCGCGACCCCTGCACAAGCAGACGACTTGCTCTCCGAATAGTGCGCAGGGGCAAATTTCGGATGAAATAAAAGGGAGCGTTCGTTTCAACAATCTCGCTTCGTCCGTTTCTACAGCGTTCATTTCGTCTGTGTCTATATTTCGCTTCAGCCCAGACGCAGTCGATGATACGAGCGCGAGCATGTGGCCCTGAACAGTGCTTGCACTGCGCGAGCGCGCGTGTTGGGACGCTGAAAGCTGAAACGAAGTATACAGCTTTGCAAGTACGGCCACAGGGCGCCGCCATCTTGATCACTTGGGGTGCGCTTGAGCGCGTCATAATCTGATTATAACGCCTTAGTAAGGCGTCATTATCGGATTATGACGCGTGCCCAAGCGCGCCCTAATGCGCAAGATGGCGGCGCTTTGGTCCTTGCGGCCGTACTTGCAAACGTGTATAGTCGCGCTGTTTCAAGATGAATACTCAGCAACTTCACCAATTATTCAATCTGTTAAAAATAAGAGTTTTTCCTTAGATTGCCCGTACCCGACGCACAGTCCGTAGCCGGCCGCATAGCACATACCTAATATATACATACTCCGCAAAAAAAAAAAAAATATATATAAAAACATATAGAACTTATTTTGAAAGATGCCTGCTTTATTAACACAAAGAGATGCTTGTATCACAGAAATAATCAGCAACATAATTTGCAGAAAATCTGTCCCGTCTTGTCCTAATGAACGACCTTGAAAGAACACATAGACGCACTGTCCGCACCTGTAGATAGTTCGCACCGAGCATCCCCAACCAACTTTCTTGGACATCAACGCCTTGCGAATGCCCAACGACAACTGAGCAACAACAACTATCGCAATGTTCCCCGGAAATATTTTAGATGACAGTCATAACATATCTAAATCCGGACAAAATGGTTTCAAGCGCAAACCCAGACAAAATGGTCCCAGGCAAATCGAGGCATATTTTGCTTGCTCTTTAGAGGTTAGTCGATTGTTTGTACTTGCTGCAAACTGAGTATAGAACAAAAAATGTCTTTCCATTTTAAACTTATATACAATTCAAAACACATTGCAACCCGGCAGCTGAGCCGAGGAAAAAGTATACTATATAAATAATATACAAGAACATATATCAAATAATGTATAATATTTGACATATTCAGCACAAGAAAAACACCGTTCCATCACACACACACAAAAAAAAGACGTTTGTGTTTCTACAATGTAAGGTCAGTCTTGGAAAAGCGGCGACACTGGCATACGCTGCAGATGACAGATTTTGCCATGCAACGTAGCCTGGCGTCTTTAAAGAGGTCATGAATCGCCTTTCCAACTTTTTCCTGTCTCGCTTTCCTCCTCAACTCATAAATCGCGCATTCTCTTTTTTTTATACCAAACAGTTCAATAAGACGAAAAGACGGGAGTCCCCTCTTGCTCGGACTCTCGTCCAGAAGATTAGCCCGTCGCTCAAAATTCAGGCAAAAGTTGCTTTCCCCACCCAGTTCACCCCTAAGCTGACAGTGCTGTGGAAGCCACGTGCTCGTTGGGCCAGCCACACTTTTGCCACGTGATCACGCTCTCTCGCGCAGAGAATGAGGCGCAGTGATCAAAAGGAGGCGGCTGATTGGTCGGGCAAGCGCGTAGCTTCCACCACAATGCCGGCTTAGGAGTGAAGGGAATAAGGGAGGTCCGGGATCGTGTGACGTGCGTTTGAACCCGGTGACGCGCTTTGGGAACCGCGGATGTGTCACAGTGAAAAGGCAGAGAGCTTACGAAGGGGAGGAGGCACGAAACAGTCCGCTGTGTTTTCAGATTTTCGCACTGAAAGTCAGGCTGTTTACTTTCTGCCTTTTTTCTTTTGGCCCACTGAACGATGTGCTATTAGTGAAATCCCAATCTAAAGTGATTTATACCAGCCCAAAATTCGTTTCATGGGCCCTTTAACGTGCATCACTCAGTAGCGATACACGACCGCACGCACGCCTTTAGAAATATCTAGTACGTGCACGATAATGTCTGATTCTTCGTGTGCATGCGTCTTATTGGACTGTTTCCAAAACCGACGCGCCCCAATGCGGCGAAATACCTTGCAGTGCACTCTGGGAACTAGTTGGCCACTCAGTTTCGGTTTCGACTGAGCAGATTCATCTCATGCTATCACGCCGCGACCGAACGCGCTGCTTGCGTTTTCGAATATCTGACTTTTTTCCGAATGTACAATACACTCATTCTCGAGCGATACAAAACGAAGGCCGGGGCACTTTCCTTGGTTCCCGAAACCCCGGATAATATGAGTGCGTATGCAAACGTAGTAAGACGTGGCTTAGTCACCTCATCTTTGAGTCCAATTTCAATAATCCCGTCTAGCACCAGTGAACTACAAGTGAAATTCGGTCACCTGGAGCATTACACGTATTTTGTTTGCCAAACGTCCGCTTCTTGTTACTTCATTCGGCGAAAAGCAAGCCGCATCCTCACAGGAGTATCAAAGTTGAGCCCAGCGTTGACGCATGAACTTCTAGGGAAACGCAATAAATTCGACCTCACTATTGCACCAAAGTTATTATGATGTCGTCCTCGTGTCATCATATATCTCCCACTCAAATTTTATGCTGATAGAAGATTAAGTTTTCGCAAACGCTGAGCCTCGGCTAGCTACGACGGAGGCCCTAACAAGCGTCCCCTACTTCTCGCTAAGCCTTTTTGGACGACTTTTACTGACGCCGAAGATCTGTGCCTGAACAGTGTGTCTGAAATTATCTCGGCATACTCAGGCAGGAAGAAAGCAAACACATAACACATATTATGGCCATTAGCAACCGTCAAATGCACTTTAAATAATTTCGTTCGTTTGGCGCACCGCATAGGGGTTCATGCCCGTCCGGCGTACTTCTGGCGAATGGTGCGACATTTTTCACACAAGTGCTCGACTTTTGCTTTCTTAAAACAGTTTGTATGCGCGAATGTGCCTATACGATTGCAGGATAACTTTACGCGCATACGCGATGTTGAATATTAGTAAAATGCAAGTGGGTGGGAAAGCTTCGCTTCGTGCAGTGCTGCGGGTCAGTACAGGTAAGAGATAAGAAGTGTGTTATAATTCAATGGCACCTCGGAGTTTTACCACGCGTACACAGGCGTATTAAGAAAATCAATAATTGCAAAAAGTTATATTTCGTCTATGGACGCATGAAACAAACAAACTTCCTGATCAACAACACTAATGTAAAGGCGCGAGCTCGATGTATGCACACTTATTGGTTGCTACAGCTTTTTGATTCGTACATAAGCAAGATCCCCGAGCTTCGCAGCGTCGACATTCCCAGCACTGGCTCGTCCACATACCTCGAAACGCTAACAGAATGGCTCAAGTACAAAAATACAACAAGCGTGTCTTAAGACAAGCTATACGTCTCGGGCTTGTGCTAAAGCGTCGAGGTCTGACCATTTAGGTTAGTTTAGAGACCACCAATGACGCTCTCGGGGCCAGAAAACATGAGATAACGGCCGTTAATAGTCCATGCTCTGTGTGTAATCTCTTGTCGACGTGTCGATCGAAACCGAAACCATGGCAATCTCCTCCCTGGCCAACTAGTTCCCAGAGTGCAACGCGCGCCGTGTTGCATGCAGGGGTTTATGGAAGTAGTCAGTGCAGCCGACACAACGAGCTATAGGACCAATCAAGCAGTGCTGAAAGCAAAAACATTTTCTGCATCTTACCATTACCTGCCAGTCCAAAGCGGAGTGCATCGCGGCCAGTGGCGTAGCAACCCGAACCGGGGCGGGGCGCTGCAAAACCCAAGAACATCCCTCATACAGCGATATCTCTAACGGATCGTCATAATTTTGGAAAAGAAGTGAGTGATTGAACGCGGCCGACGAGAGAAGTCACGTCACGATTCTCTTTCTTTCTCCTCCTCGCTACGTCCCATCGAGCAGCTGGTGAACCGAAGCGAGGAAGAGAGAAGCGACTCAAGCGAGGCCGCTTCCCCTTATTCTCAAATTTTCCAAGGGGACAATGACCTCATAGCCCTAGCCTGATCGCGCCCTTCTTTTCCAAAAGTGCGGCCATACGTTTGAGATATCAATGAATGGGCGATGTTTCGGAGTTCGTCGCGTCCAGTTCAACGCTTCTGCGGCCTTATTTGCGAAATCCAAATCTCGGTTCAGTATCCCTCTAACGATTGCCGACGCTGAAAGAATAAAACACACATCTGGGGCGGACAACCAATATTTCGTAAAAGATGGGTCATCCGTATCAAGTATGTGTTTTAAATTAAATTGTGGGCTTCTTTAGCGGTTTACTAAAATACATCACAAAAAAAAAAACAAAAAAAAAAAAGCTTAAATAGATTAAAATATACGTTACACGTGTACTGAGAGAGCCCAAGTGTCAACAAATCACTTGAACACCTTTTGTCTGGGACCATTTTGTCCTACATCCTGAAATATCAGTAAGCAGTAATTAAATTTTTGCGACACATATAGTTTTTCTTCCACAGCTCTACAGTACGTTTCTTTATGAAATTAGAAATTTCTGCTCTTCTTCACAAAAGAGCGTAATGTTCCCGAGGACATGTAATTGCCCGAGTATCATAGAACGCAAATAAATCAGAATTTCGATATTTTCTTGAAAACATTTTTATTCCACAGAATGTCTCATAAACTTGGCCATGTAAAATTTTAAGTTTTTAAAGTGAATAGTTCGATAATACGGAGCTTAACAATAATTAGTACACAAATAAATTTTTAAGGGGTAATACAACGGAATTTCGGCGCTTAAAGGAGCAGTATCACATCAACACGCCAATGTCCTGTCAAAAAAGAAACGAAAAGGAAGTTTAAAACAAATTAAACTATTATAGCAAAGAGCACCTGGTGGATGTCGCTAATGCTTCGTTTGTATTGCCCGTCTAGGAACCTTGAAAGGTAGTGCAATAACTGTCTCGCTTCTGGCCACCACGAGAGAAGAGGGGAACGAGGAACTCCCCTCTCCCCGAGAATCTCTTTTGTGTACCAAAAGTCGCTATCGTCCCTCTACCAGATTATAGAAGATTAACCCGTCACTCAAAATTCATACAAAAGCAGCCGCTTCGGTGGCTGGAACGACTAGGCCATACTCTCGACGTCAGCCTCGCCATAGCTTTGCTCGTCTTGAGACGAACTGCGTCACGATTGCGGGGATGTCACGTGGTCTCCGCTGGCTGCTCTCTGAGCGCTTGCCAGAGTGGCCCATTTACAGCCACAAGGCTCAAAATACAAACGCGTGATTGCCATTTACGGATATTGTGGATCACATACAACTTATCTTTGAACTCGATTTCAAATTCCAAATTTCCTTGAAGCATCCCTTTAAAGGGGTACAGATTCAAAACTTGAAATATCCTGAAGCGCTTCGAAACGCGTGAAATACGACTTGTGATATCCAAAAGTGATAATCATACGCTTGTATTTTCAGTGGACGGCTACATATATTTTTCGTTCCAACCGACGGATTCCGGCGAGCGCTTCAAAATCAGACATGATGGCACCCTAGGTGCGATGCGTCTCGATATATTTGCCTGTGACGTCACGTTCGCAATGTCACGGGCCCATTAACGGCCAAGGGTACCGTAATTACGATCATTGTCGCTAGGTGGCGCCTCCATCAGACACGCCGCGCCGTAGCGCGCGCTGGTCGTGATGGGCCGGTGGTGTGAGACATTCCAACGAAGCTCGGCCCCACAACCACGACCTAGGAGGTCGTGCCCACTACCAGGTGGTATTGGAAAATCATTTTAAAATTGCTTTTCTTGCGTTTTTGGACGAAAAACCGGGGTCTGTGAGCTAAAAATAGGCACTCAAAGTTTGCTTTCATTACCTTTAAGATAGCCTTGCTGACTAACGAGTGAGCCAACATACAGAGGTAAAACCTCCCGATTCCGACACCTCCTCAGGAAGGGCAGGTTCACTCATAACCAGCATAGATTCCATCCAACTGAAAACCAAGACATCTACTTCAGTTAGACCTATGCAAGACGTCATGGCATGATGGGCATGACACCTCGAAAATATCTTTTCAATAAACCCCTATTTTTAGACAACAAGATGTCTGAAAAGATATATTGTAAACATCTACAAGCCATTGTGATCGATGTTTTGAAGACAAAAACACTTTCCAAGACGTACTGTGGCAAAAATAAGAATGCACCGACGTCAAATATGCATGACTGCAATTTGAACCTTTACCCAGGTCGGAGACGCCAAGTGTTACTCAGGAAGCCGGGGGAGGTGTCACATACTGATGACGAGAAAAACAAACTAGCAGCAGCATTTCCTTGTAAGTATAGCAGACTTTTGAGCCGCACCACCTCTTTTCCAGCACACCGGTGCAGTCAGGTCCGCATGGCGGGCGTCCAGGACCCCTTTCCCCAGGACGAGACCGTGCCCATCGCGGTTGGATCTACGCTGGCCGTGGCTGCAGTGGCCGTCGTCGTGGGCTACGCCCTCTACCGGTCCGTCTTTGTGCGCAGGGTAGACTACAACACCATGAACTGAAAAGATGCCTCCTGCAAGTGACGATGTTAAACCGTCACAAAGAATGCGCGCCTTCTTATTCGGCAGACTTGTGTGTACTAGAAAGATGCGCCACACTTTGGGCTACCGCTGAGTGCCCAGAGTCTTGGATCGGGTAGACGCCACCTTTCCAAACATTTTGTCTAATGAAGCACAGGTCACGTTTCATTGAACAACATTTCAGCACAGTGCACACACCTACTGTTGCATTGTTTGTGATAATGTTAGGACGTCTGTGGTTCATTTCAACGAAGCAGCAGCTAAACTACGACGATGGGCGACTTGCAACTGAAGCTACTGTGTTGACGTGCATGTATATGGATGGTGGAAAGATATGCCCCGGTTCATCGAACCCAGTTCAGCAAGGTAAGCAACACCGTGGATGTAAAAACAAAAAACAGAAACCACGAACCAATCGCTCCAGCCCCTGGTTAAATCTGAAGGTACTAGCACATTTAGCCCATCATGTTTGTTTCCATGGTGCGTAGACAAGCACTGGCACTTTCACTAAACATAATTCTGTAAACCCAGGTGTTTCATTAGCTGAACAAGGGGATGTGACCACTCTTTGGTATGAGTTTTTAAAAAAACACTGATGACAATTCTACACTTTTCATAATTTACATGTATTGCTACTGCAAGATGAATTAGTAGGAAGCTAGGGTGTTCCCCTGAAAAGTTAAGGCATGTTTTTTGTCAAAAGCAGGGTGTCAAATCAATCATTATCCCGGCTTCTTTCGGTTCAGGTTCAATTGCTATATCTTTTGTTCCGGATCGGTTCCGGCTCGTAACTCTGCCTTTCATCAAGGCCACCCGTGAACTTCCTGAAGCTTTTGTTGAGCACGTGATACTTGCAGTAGCCGGACACAAACTTATCTCCATCGCACCAAATTAATGTAACGGAATGAGACAGATACATTAACTTTTTGCTCATCAAATGGGAGCTGCACTGGGCCACCCTTTGTGCAATGTACATTGCTATGTGCAAGTGATGGTTCCACTTTGAACTACACTGCAAAAAATTTACCTCACATTCTACAGATGACTGTTATTAAAAACATGTAGTCTGAAAGGAACAAACATTTCGGTTGAATGCGGCAAGTGTTTACAAGATGCACTGTCAATGTGATTTTGTCTTGCAATAACTATCCGAGCTAGTATCATATAGCAGCATCACATCTAAGGAATATGTGCAATTAGTGTTTACAAAGATGCAGCTTGGCATATTTCAAGATTTACAAAACTTGGTGAACAAAAACGAAATCTGGTGCATTTATGGTAGAAAAGTCCATAAAATGAGGAAGTTTTGCCCAGTTTGTAGAGGAGAATTCTCAGCCTCATTGTTCACTAATGCGGTACTATATATATGGCACAGTCCCTCGATAGCAGCAGTCTAGAAACTAGTCTGCTATGCTAGGGAAGACCTTTGATTTGGGAGAAAGTGAATTTGACCTCGTGCTGCTTGCAAAAGCAGGCTCGGTGCACACGTCTCCAGTCAGAACAGTTATTACTCGACTGTTTTCCAGTGAACTGGTAATCACCAAACAAGGTCGTGGTATGGTTTCGGTTCGGGTATAAATATGAAATGTTCAGTCCTGGTTCCATTCGGGCATAGTCAAAAGTTAACGTGTTTCAATCCATTTTCCGTAGAGGTTTGTGTGTTCAGTTTGACAGCCTGGTCAACAAAGGCTTTCAAAGATCGCATTACCGAGAAACAAAATACTTGCATCATTCCAGTCAATTCTACAATCACTCAATTGTGACAACACAGTACAGCACGATTCAGTGCGTGAACTCTCGAAACAGTATTCACATCCGGACTATTGCCACGATAGTTTCCAACTGCTTTCCATCTCTAGCGGGTGTTGCCATCAGTAATAGCATACCTATTGAACTTGTTCCATTGGTTTCTGACCTTGCGAAGCCCGTCTTACATCAGCAGTTTTGGCAGGATACCATTAATAAATACTAGATATCATCCAGCACAAACTAAACATCTCCCTCAGTGACACCATTAATATTGGGTTGAAATGCGGGTTTCTAGAAACATCTGCAGGAGAGTTGAAGACCCCCCCACCACACACACACACACACAGCAGAAGTTATTTAGTCTGTTGAGTTCTTCGCCGGGTGATGTCAAGATCCAGTTCATTTGCTGAAATGTTGTTCAGTGAAACGATTACTCGACGACATATTCGACGGAATGGTATGTTTGGCAAGATGACCCAGTCACCCTCAAATTTAAGCTCGTTAGGTGGTGCTTCATGGCACGGCTAAAGCCTACCCATGGACCCCTCTGGCATGGGGCATCTTCGTGTGTGAACTCACACCACTTTACTTCTATTGTCACTACCGAATGGGTTAGAACGGCGGGGGTCTTTCGATGCAAGCTTCCTACCTTCGACAACCCTCTGGAGCATGCATACGTAGCCAGAGCATGGTGGAAGGCAACGGGCGTGCACCAGAGGCATCCCAATGAGATGCCCTGCCATCCTGTCAGTGACTCGTCAGAATTGCGATATACAGGGAGAATGAGTATTTGGGGACAAGTGGAGCATCAAACTATACTGCAGCTGAAACTTTGTCATCTCGAGATATATCACTTCCTCTTCACGCGTCTGTGGGGCTGTCTTTTACAGTCAATCGAAATAAGGAGGGGGAGATTCGTGCTCTAACATATGCTCCACGCTAGAAATGCGCAGAAAAATACCCTTTTGGAGTTTGGCACGTCGGGGAACTCTATCTTCGACCGAGGCCGGTCAGCCTAAACGTCGTCTTCCTTTACCTCGAGGTTATTTACTTCAAGTCAGCTTTTACGAGTCAAAGGAGGAGAGAGTACAATTTTTAACGGGAACCCAACAGCTTCCAAGTTGCACGCCACAAATTTGCCGACATTCTCCGCACGACAGCTATTCCGCCCCGAAGCGGGAAAAAGCGACGCGCTTTTAAAAGGCTACCCTGCATACGCTGCAGTGTGCGCGAGTCTTCCACTTCACATGCTTCTGTAGCCACTTTTCACTTCAACTCCAAAATGTATGCGTGTGTGCACTTCATGCCGCCTGTGTAGGCAAGAGGACTTTCGAAGTGTCGTGATGTGTGCGAGACATTTTTCATGCAGTATCGGTGTTCCTACATGTGAGCTTGTGTAGCACAGAGTTAACAAAGGTTGTAGCTAAAGGGCCTAACTAAACGTGTACATACAAAAGCTGTGGATATACGCATAAGAACTATGTGAAATGAAATAAAACTTGGAAGGCAATCTGTGTGGTGACTTTGAAACCTGGCTGGTGCCCTCGAATGTGTCGGAAAATAATGGAACACGGTGGAAAACCCAGGAGCACTCTGTTTATTTTGCCTGGTCACAGTATAAAAAGGTAGAGACTTTTCGGCGAGATGCGACTGTCGCAATGTACACAGGAACCAGCAGTATTTACAGGTTTGCATCGCTTGCACCCAAGGCCCGAAAGGCAGACATCTATGCGGTAATTTGTTATCGTTAACACCTACCGTCGAGTTCTTGGATGGTCAAAGCGAGAAGAAGTGTTCCCCACTCGGCAGATGCCTAACAAAATTTGCGCTGCGAGGAACCAGCAAAATCAAACGCGCACTCTCGCCAGAATTTGAGTTTTGCCGAGAACTGGAGGGTCAGGGAAGCTGCCGCACACATTTGGACGACAACTTAAACGAGTTAAAATAAAAAGGACGAACTGAACGCCACTCTGACGCCCGACACTTGCCCCAACAAAATATGGGTCCCCGTCGGAGCCGATTCATCCATCTATATTTGGGAACTATATTTTACGCGCAATATCCAAAGTTCCGTTCACACATTACACACTCGTGCACGTATAAAAACGTGTTGCGCTGCCAAATGCAACGGGAGGAATCCCGCAACTGAGTCCCACTTTTCAACTTGGCACTTGCAGCAGTTGAGGTCTGCACAAGTGGAATTGGCAATTCCACACAATACACATAACGGAGGTTGGATAAACTAACTACATGCGCACGTAGAATATATATTAAAGGTTAAAACAACGAACGAGAAAAGGGCTGCACCAAATGCGGTGGGTGTTTCCAACCACCGCTGGAATGTACCTGCAGTACGGTCCCGCAAAAGGAAGTGTTGGCTCTGTGACGAGCTCTTGGACCCCCCCAACCATACATCCAAACCCATCTTTCTGGCAATCTACAGGCGGCATCGTACATACACGGCAAAAGCTTGTTCACAATCGGGAACTGGAAAAAAAGCAATGCGGCAGACGTAAGTGTGACCTTTACGCACTAACATCAGACATAGCACCTCGCGTTCTCAACAGCAACGTTAGAAGGCGGGATGGGTTGTTAAAACGGATAAACGTAACGTGTGTATAACTGTTTGGGCAGCGTGAGAAAATGCAACGAGTCCAGTTGTGTCTCACATTATGTACAGGCTGAGGGTAGACGGGCAGACAGTTCGGAGAAACCTTTGTACAAACGTCCGTGTGTGAGCAGCAACGAGAAATGCGAGACCGCCGCCCGACCCACTGGGATCTCTCGACCCCGCATCAAGGCACTTCTACCGGGACAACCGACGCAGCGGTGGGTCCAGGCAGGCACATAGAGCGGGCCATACAAGGTTGGCGTCGCAGAACAAACAGAGGGTGAACAAAGGGGGATGCCGATGCAATTACGAGTTTCAACACATGAGGTAGAAATCAAATGAGCAAAAAAAAAGATCTAAAAAGCCAAGGAAAAATAACACAAAAAATTGAATGCACAGTTGCACAACCTAGACAAATAGGAGCTGCCCCAAAACAGAGAGGGAATGCAAGCACGTGCGACGGCTTGATGTCGTGCAGATGCGTTTGTATGCACCTCGACAAGAATATGCACCCAACAAAACTTGTCTGGTTTGTCCGTTGTAATTGAAACAAAAGCGGCACCAACATGGAGGTTCAACCTGTCTCCCCATTGCTAAATAAAATTCCTCGGCACCACTGCAGGCAAACTGCGAGGCATTGGCGGGCCTTCAAAACGTTCTGCAACAGTTTGTCATTGCACGTGAAAATCCTAGGATAGGTGTTGTAAACAGCTACTAAGATTTTCTATTCTTCAAATTGAGTCTAGCAACCATGGACACATCGTCAAATGGTTATGAGTAATTTCTCATTTCTGTTTTCTTCAAAATTTGGGCACAATTATTCTGCCACTTCTGAATATACTCAGATGGGGAAGATGACTTCGGCACATAAAATTGGTATTAAAATCTGTGTAAAAGAGTAAACAGCAGAATACAATAATAATAAACTTTTAGTAGTGGTAAAAATAATATGCATTAACCATTGTTTGTCTGCATCTGTCTCTTCAGTCTTCAATAGTGCAATTCGAAAAGGAGAACATGATTGCATATCTAAGAACTCTTCATGTTTCTATAAAGAAATTAGGATTATGGTAAAACAAATTCCGAATAGTCAATCAATCGGAGCAGATTTGTTGAAATGGCATTCAACGGAAATTTACACACGCCCTAAAAACCAGGGGCTGTCAGTTCCTAAGGTCGGGCAACCATCTTCATACAGGCAGGAAGACTATTCTGGGATTCCTGAAGTCCTCGCAAGCTCATTGTTGGCCAGACAGGCCGGGGCACTTTCGTTTAGCCCGCCCCTAAGAATTCAGAGCTCCAGAGAGCCAGCTTGGCCGACCAGGGGAGCCAAAGACAGTCTGTCCCTAGATTAGTGTCGAAAGGCAGCACGGCTAAATGCTTCGTAGGAGGAGCGACGAACCATGGAGCAAACGGTATCTCACCGGCGGCGCTCGTCGAGAAACTTGCCTTTCAAATAGTTTTCTCGTACAGAAAACACTCCGCACGCTTTAAAATGTGCGTGCCATTTTGGGCCACCGAAAGAATACGCGAAAGGTGCACCATCCGTTTGATTCCTATAGTATTGCTCAAGTTCGACTGCAAGGAACCCAGAGGGAGCGTTCCGAACCGTTTTCCAGAAAAACTTGGTTTCGATCGCACCTTGGCTCGTTTAGAGAGCGTCATAGAGGTCACTGAGGGTCGTGTCAACAATTAACCCTAGAGCGCGTCAAAGCCGCAGTGCCCCATACCCACCAAGAACAACTTGCGCAGCACCGTAGGTAGAGTCCTCTCAGTCACTCGTGCCACCGTACCCGCAAACTTGCCGGTACCACATAAGAACAAGCAACAAGCTGCCACCAGGAATCCCGGGAGTGGCGCAAAGTAGAGCAAATGTCGGAAAGCTTCCGACTCGGCAGGACGACTTCCCGGGAGCGTGGTGTGGCGGGGGTGTCAGCAGGGGCTGTGCCTGAAGCTGCGCATCAAGGGCACGAGGAGGCTGGGCGGCCCGGCCTGGCGCAGGAACGGGTGCTGGAGCAGCTCGAAGGCCGTGGCCCTCTGGCCCGGGTCCCGCACCAACATCTTCTCCAGGAAGCCCTGAAGCCGGGGCGAGACCTGCGCAGCCGTGCATTGGGATTCGTGACGTGAAAAGTTGCCGGCCGGGCACGCTGGTGCGCTTCAAACCATAGTGCGCCCTACTGTTTGAAGACCAGTGGCTTCGCTGCATTTTCAAACCGATTTTTGCAGTCGATTTAAAGAGGCTGGCTGCTACTTAAAACACGTGGTAGTTAGTGATGCTTTGCTGCCGTTTACGCCCGAAACGCGCATGCTGCACGGTCTGGAGGGTGTTGACATATTTTAACGTTGTGAGAGATGAGGCTGGACTAACACACCCCTAGCGGCGGTCCGCAGAAGCAGAGGGCGAGGGAACGCTCATAGAGACCCAGGGACGGGGAGGGGGGTAGGGAGGGGGGGCGGATTGTCGTTGTGGGGAGAGAGAGGACTGCGAGTGGTGTTTAGGATATGTGTGTCTCGTTTGAAGCAGATTAAAGAAGAGTGTTTCAAACCAAGTTTATCACAATGTGCTTTCCATTGCACCCACTCGGCTGGGGTGCTTTCGACAGCCTCCTTCTCCTTGCCTCCGCCTCCCACGTCCAGTCACGATTGTGCAGGCCAAGCGAAAATGGTCCTCCGCGTAATTACCCCGAAAGATTGTACCCCAAGTAATTAAAAAAGAAAGAAGACAAAAAAGGCAAAAGAGAAGTTTCGCAGATAAAGAAAAAAGCCCGGCGCCACCTCTGCCCGACGAAAGTAAACAAAAAAAAAATCTCTGGCCTAATCGAATTTCTTTCTCCGTAGAGAATGTGCAGGCGCTCGCCGGGGCCTTTGAACATGGTCGAAGTTAAACGAAAAATGAGTTAATCGAAATAAAAAAAAAAAACGAAAAATAACTTTTTTTTTAAATTTTTTTAAAGAGTTTGGTAGCACACGCGCGTCAAAAAATAAATTTTACACGAAAAAATAATATTTGGGAGCAATATTGACGGTGAGAGATTTATTTGAAATTCTGGGCGCGAAGTCCATGATGTCACTGGTCATTCCGCAATGACCATCTCGGTCGTGAAGGCGAAGCCGATCCACCTTTCCTGCACACTTCCGAAATGCCGAGAGAGAAAACAAGTTAAAAGGAGGTGACTGCCGACTAAATCGCGTCTCGCGCCGTCAACATTGCTCTAAAAATTTTTTTTTTTTTTTTTTCGTAAAATTAACGTTTTGATTTGTGTCCCAACCAGACCTTTAAAAAAAACTTTTATTTTTCTATTTTCAGAGGCTCTTTAACGCGAGTTTACCGTACAGCCCCGGCAGCTGGCACACGACAGATAGGTAAAGCAAACGTGGCAACTGCCTTGCATCTTTCTGCGCCACGTCACACTTTTCCGCGCTGGCGTAGGCCGGTGCAGGTAACCCAAACGAGCTCGGTGCTAACATTTGCAGGGACACTAGATGCGCCCGAACGAGAGTTCCCGGAGCACGCTTGAGAGTGGCGAAAGGCCAACACAGCCCCAGAAAGAAGGAAGCGTTTCCCGTTTAACGGTAGTGCGACACGCTCGGAAACCGATGTAGCCGAGGCGGCGAGCGAGACTAGAGTGCTCGGAACGCGTCTTCGACCGGAGCGACGGTGAGCGATGGCACGAAACTTTCGCGACGTCGCACGACGGAAACTGAGGGGCCATTTTCGGGGACGTGGTAGACGGACTGGGCGGAAATGCGCCTAGGGCGCCGTACCTCCGCCACTGCGCCGCCAACGGGATGGCGGGGGCCAAGAAGGCGGTGAAGATGCGCACCTTGTGGGTGTTGCGCAGCTTGGGGGGCGGCATGTCGCGGATGCGGCGCATGGCCTGCAGGGGAGGCTCATTGAAGAAGGGGGGCTCCCCGTCGACCATCTCGATGCACATGATGCCCAGCGACCAGACGTCCACCTCGGGCCCATAAGGCAGCCGGGAGATCACCTCGGGCGCCATCCAGTACGGGGTGCCCACCAGGGACTTGCGCTTGGGCAGCTCCGGGGACACTTGGGCGCAGAACCCAAAGTCCGACAGCTTCACCTAAGGGAAAGACAGCCACGTTCTTAAAGCCGTTAGCTTTTGTGGGGCGACATTGAGGTACGTTTCTGGCAGTTTATTTTTCTTGCCGAATTTTGCAGGGAAAATGACGTTGCCCGACTCCGTGCCACATGATGCATGCGCAAATTCAGTTTGCCCACCAAATATAGTGGGCAAACTGAATGAATAAAATGAAATCTAATAACATGGTGTTTGTGTCTCATCACAAAGAAAGCAAATCACTTAATTAGATGGCAACATACCGTAGAATACCGCGCGAGCACCCATTTCATTCCAGAACCCACTATTAATATTTCCCAAACTTGGGAGTTCTGCAAATTATGCGTTAAGCACCCGATTTGATCGAACAAGTGCCCACGTCTTGATTAACCCGATTTTCAGTTCAAGTAGTGGGGTGGGCATTCCTCCGGTATATTACGGTAGTCGGTTCTGCAGGAATTTTCGAGTGAGCTTCTGTACGTGCGTACACCCTCTCACCCGGCCTCGATTCTCGCGGTCACCATTTTGGGATGACCAACGCATTCGGCACCTTTCTTTGCACGTGTTTAGTCTCTTTGACGACCCTTTCTCGAGCGTATGTGGCACGGGGCATAAAAAACAATGAAAATCGACACATTGGCGCAATGCTAACATATTCTGATGAGAGGAAGCCCGTTCGGCAGCCCTACATTTGTAGGGCTGCCGAACGTGCTTCCTCTCATCAGAATATGTTAGCATTGTGCCAATGTGTCGATTTTCATTGTTTTGTAATGAACACCGTCGAGGCAGTTGTCTGCAAACTACATTTGTAGTTTGCAGACAACTGCCTCGACGGTGTTCACTACTCAAAAAAAAAAATGACCGTATCTTCACGTGGTGAATGATGTTGATTGGGGCAAAGCTCTGGTGGTGCTGATGATACTGATTTCTTGAGCATTTGACCGCAGCGCCCTCTCATCCATAAACGTTGAGCCAATGCGTGCAAAGTTTAACGCGATTATATACGCATTTGACCGCAGCGCCCTCTCCTGTATAAACGTCGAGCGGCTACATGCAACGTTTCATCCATGACATCCCCAGCTCTCGAATTACTACCACATCTCAGAGCCCCCTACTCGTCCCGCAGTCGTGGCCGAGTGGTTAAGGCGATGGGCTAGAGATCCATTAGGGTCTCCCCGCACAGGTTCCAATCCTGTCGACTACGCAAACATTTTTTTGTTTTCTTTAAGACAGATGGGATGGCAATCAATGCCAGCATGGACGCCGGCCAAGGCTAGACCCCAAGGAGCTTCGCCCCTAAAAGGTCCACTAGGTCAAGCTAGTAAAATATAAAAAATGCTGAAAGTAAAAAAAAAAAAAAAAGTAGAACCATTGGTCAATTAATTTTTTAACAACTGAAGAGTGAGCGAAAGAAGCTGACTCCACTTTGGTGTCATTGTTTGAGTTGCCAAGTGAAATACAGCAATAGCACGAAGTTACTTTTTTCACCTCGACACGAGATAACCTCCATTAATGGGAACAGTTCTTTTTTTACTTTGGTAATAGTTGTGCTTGGCAAGATCTTGAATGAATTATTAAGGTGGGCTCGTTGGCTCAACATGCTAAATGTGTAAAGCGCAAAGGGACAGACGAGGTTACAATGTAGACAGGGCAGCGATAATAGTGCTGTCCTGTTTACTTCATGTGCTCATCTGTCCCTTTGCACTTTATACATTTAGAATTAAAATCTTGCATATCTTTACACTATAAGTGCACTTTACAGCAATGTATGTTTTGAGGCCAACGTTAGCCGACAATTAAAAAACAATTTGGATCCACTTGGTACCCCAAATTTAGAAATAAAGTAGATATCTCCTGAGCTTCATTGGTCTGAAGGCAAGTGAGAAACTAGCTACACTTTCCAAACAGGTTATATAATGTACAATGGTGGAGAGATTCAACGAAGCTACAGGAGCGTGCGGTCTCGAGCTACAAGCGCACTTCATGCTGGCGGCGAGAGGAGCCACGTGAGCAGGGTGCCGGCAGGTTACGACATTAGCGGCTATCAACATCCGGCTATCCGGCCTCGCTTTTCGTAGCGCTTACCTATGGCGAATGATTTAAAAATAGGCCAGCGCTATCACACATAGCAAGGCCGGACAGCCGGATGATGATGGCCGCTAATCCCGCAACCGGACCGTGCCCGGCTCGCGTGGCTCCTCTTCCCGCCAGCATGACGAGCGCGTGTAGTAGCTCGAGACTGCACGCTCCTGTGGCTTTGTTGGTTCTTTCTACCACTGTACAGTCAGGCAAGATTGAAGACCATGTGAGCAGTTGGGGGTAGCTGATCGATAGAAGAAAACTGCTGCCATCATCTGTGTCTGGGTCGTGGTTGTCTTAGTTACAGAATTACTTTTGGCTTCATTATTTATTATTTATGCGAGAAGAAATATGCTTTCTAATGTCCACCACCCGTCCATGAGAATGGACATTCTGTTCCTATCTCTTCTTCGTTCGGAAGCAAGGATGTTCTTGGCATCTCTCATTAGAAGCAGGGTGCTCCGGTTATTCTGCTAGTAAACACAGACTTTTGTCATAATTTGGCATAATAAAGTGGCTCTTACTTCACTAAGATAAAATCGGTATCCACTTCTATCTATTTCGGAAATAGATACAATTCTATCCATTGTTGAGAAACATAGATGGAAAGAGGCAAAGCGTGGTACACAGAAGCAGCCTCTGTTTCTGAAGCCTTTCAGATTGCACATTGACAAAAGTAAGAAATGGCATGGCCAATGTCAATATACCAAGTCCTGGTATGTAATACCAAGTCCTGGTATGCAAAAGGCTATGAAAAAAATTCATTCAAACATTGTACAGTCAATCAGCTTTTTAGAGGGCTCCTTTCAACCTATTCATAAAATATCTGTAGTTTTAGATTGTGCTTAGAACTGGAAATCCCAGTTAGAGTGCACCTGAAATATGACCTCCAAATTTAACAAATTTAAGCTAAAGTAACATACGTTAAATCCATAATGCATTGCGCATGAAGCAGAGTAGTTCAATTGCCAGTCTTTATTTGGGCTGCTTTCCAGCTGAACTAAAGTTTCCATCGATGCAATACCATTAAACCACCTTCCTCAATCACATAAATTTCTACAAGAAATATGTACTCATACGGATATGACTAATGAATGAAAGAAACAGTTTACAGCTGAACATCATCGAGTCATCACACCCTGCTTTCGCCATGGCACTCACACAGCATCTGTCGCAACAAATGGTTATGTCCTATCCAAGTTTTGTTTCCCTTCACTCTATTTTTGTTTGTGCTTTGTATGTTGCTATTTTTGCTTTTTTGTTTTTGATCTATATATTATAGAGCGGAAATCAATGTCCACACAGGTTGGAGAAACGAGGTTTGAGACTTTATTACTGAAGCCACCAGGGCCCATTTTGCTCCAAGCGCGGTTAAGCGCTAACCGTGGCTAAAGTTAGCCGCAGTACCTAGGAGAGGGATTTTGAAATCACGTGACTGGCTCGGTAGGGATGCGGGGAGCCACGCATGGCCCCGTCGCTTCGTAAGACAAAGTGGCTGCAGCGCACGCAGTTTCCGCGTTTGCGATCGCATTGGTGTTTGTCGGCCCGTTTGCTCGAAGCCAGTTAACTTTAACCGCGGTTAAAAGTTAACCGCCCTCTAGGTACCTACAAGTACCTAGACAAGGTTGACGAGGGCTAAATGAGCGATAGTTCCCTATTTTATTATGGGATGGTAGCTGGTGTCACCTACTGGTTGTAGTGAATATAAGTGGCTTCCGTGGAAAAAGTTCCCAAAAAGGGGGGACCCAACAACGCGCGCTAGCGGGTCCTCGCGACGCAGTGCACTTACTGACGCGCGCTCACTGACCGGGGCACTGCCATGTTTCCACACATCCCCACCAAGCCCAGTCACATGATTTCAAAATCCCTCTCCTAGGTACTGCGGCTAACTTTAGCCATGATTAGTGCTTAAACAATGCTTCGAGAAAACGGACCCAGATGACATTCTTACTGCACAAATTATGAGTATGAGCAAACGTTTTGATTCACTCTCTCTGGCCACTCTACAATGTAAGCATATGGGACATGCTTTCCTACAAACCTCGCCAGTGCTTGCGACTCCACGTGCTACATGGTACTGGGAGGCCCGTCACTACAAAAGTAACCCTGCAAGCGCTAGCCATGACCGACGAAATTTCTCACAGATACCTCGATACAATTCCCGGATACGGCACCGATGCTTCCTTCTACATTTGCTGGTGGCCACCATAGCCAAATTCGTGGTTAATGAGTGCAGCTGAGGGCAAGTTTCCCCGGTGCTTTTGCAATGTCCACTACACAATCAAGGTTCCCGTTCTTATCAACTTATACAGTATAACCTCGTTATAACAGATCTGGTTACAGAAGACATTCGGTTATAAATAGGATTCCGTGTCCACAAAGTTGATTTCCAGTGAAAATTGGAGGGTGCTTTTCGGAGTTTATTTTCCACTGGAAAATCAGGGGTTATCTGAGTTTATATTTCTTAGATTTCTGATTATCTTAACTTTAAAGTTTAATTTTACCGTGTTCTAGATTTTTCAAATTTCAAAATTAAAATGAAAAAAGTCCAGACACAAACATGCCCTAAATTCATTAGAACTCACTTGCATAGAATGATATTTCTGTAGCTGCATTTAATGTTGGTGGCATTGCCATTGGCAATACTAACTATGCCATGACAAATACTGCACAGAAGCACTGCCTCACAAAAAAGCCGCTACCTTAGAAATAATTAAACTGTCGGACATAGTCGCTTGGAAGCATGTGCTTAAACTTCGGCCGCCCCACTTCCTCCATTGAAATATATGGGTTCATAGCTACCACTGTTATAAAAACACCACCCCTCCTTCTCTAAGAAGCACACAAATAGTGTGGTTCAAATTGGAAACTTAAGGTAGTCATGAAACAATTTTTTAACTTTTTCATTCTTAGCTTTCCTCCTCAACTCACAAATCGCGCATTGTATAAAACAGTCCAAGACGGAAAGGAGGGACTCCCCTCTTGCTCGGACCTTCGTTTGTGTACCCGGACACACCTATTCTCCCCCTGGAAGATTAGCTGTTGCTTTCCTCACCCTGTTCACCCCTAAGCTGGCAGTGCTGTGGAAGCCACCTGCTCGTTGGGCCAGTCACACTTGCCACGTGATCATGCTCGCTCGTGCATACCCGCCCGCAGAAAATGAGGTCAGGTGATGAAAGGGAGCCGACTGATTAATCCGGCAAGTGCACAGCTTCCACCGCACTGTCAGCTTAGGGGTGAAGGGAAAAAGTTAGGTCCGGTGTCGTGTGACGTGCGTTTGGGCTGGATGACGCGCTTTGGGTACCACGGATGTATCACAGTGAAAAGGCAGAGAGTTTTTGAAAGAAAGGGGGTACGAAATAGTCCGCTGCATTTTTAAATTTTCATATAAAAAATTAGGCTTTTGACTTTCTACCTCCTTTCTTTTGGCCCACTAAACGATATGCTATTAATATAATCCAAAACTAAATTCATTTATCTCAGCCCAAAATTCGTTTCATGGGCCCTTTAAACAACGACTTTTATCGTGATCCAGAGGTACCATGACCCACTGTCCTGAACAAACCTTGACGAGCTAAAAGGTAAAACCCCTTTTGTCAGGAGCACAAGATTTCAAATAAAACTAAATTGAACTCTTTTCAGGGCCACTGACCCCTTGCTCTCATAAAATTTACACGTAAAATACCATCCTTTTTGCTTTTTATTTAGCCATCTAAAATTCAAATTTTTTCGGTTTTTACCACGAACATGGTGATTGAACAGTGATTTGAGAAGTTTGGTTGTTCTTCCTACCTATGCCAACTTGGCTTATTACAAATTCTTAGGGGTGTGCGAATACCGAATAGTAGTTTTCGAATCGAATACCGAATCGAATCAAGAAAAAAAAGCCGAATATCGAATCGAATATCGAATAGTGATTTTATTTGTAGGAATTTTTCAAAGTGTGCTGCGAATGAGATTATTATATGTGCAGAGTATGCACCTGTTGCAGAATATGCATCTTGTGCAGAACAGAAGCTAAAATGTAAAAAAATTCTGGTGAAAAAAAAAAAAAATAAATAAAAGCAGTTGCTGTTGGATGTTGGGCAATAAAGATCCAATTTTATGGCACAAATATAATCTATCTTCCCTAAACGTCACAAAAAAAAACAAAGTTACAGCCACGCATGCCTTTTTTAAGCCCAACCTAACACCGCGACTTTTTTTTATAAATGTTTGCATATCTCAGAAAAGGGGCATTTTGCGATATTTGGTTTTCATTTTAAGGAAGAAAAAGGGCACCCGGGATTTTATTTCACGTAAATAAACAGATAGGTGTTAAATCTTATTAAACAGGCTTAAATAATATAATCTGAAGTAAGAAAAAAAAAAGAGTGGTTAGGTGGCGCAAGACACCGTCCAACTGCGGCTATGCATCCATTTTTCCGTCTATTTATCCTGTTTTAGAGAGCCTTGATTTAAAAGAGGAGCAAGCGAAATTGAAACCACGGAGATGGCTCCAGTGCAAATTGATCGTAAGTGCGCATGTGTTGTGTTGTTGCGAGGAAAAAGGCGAGCAAACAAAAGCGCGACGACGCCTGCTCTCCCTGCCCTGCCTGCCCGATCCCGATCGACGCTTTCGTTTTTTCGTCACGTTCTCGCAGTTCGTAATTCAAACGCGGCTATCGAACGGTTGGAAACCCTCTCAAATCTAGGCACACTATTTTCCTGTTCCGTTTCGTTCCGCATCAGAATTTGCGGCTTGAGGTTCCAAAAGAACGACGACGATAACTCGGCTGGTTTTATCGGAGTGTTTAACGTGGTTTTCTTTCTGTGATTGTGCAGTCGCCGATTTCTGCAAGTGCGGCAAGTGTGTTTTACATCGGTGCCTCAATTTGAAACGAGGGGCTTTACTCGTGAAAAGAATTAGGCATGGCGCGGGATTTCGGCCTCCCAACAGTTCCTCTCTGGAAGCGGCGCAAACGGGATGTTTCGGTTGTGATTCAAGGGTAGGTTGTATCACGATCGTGAGTAAATCTGCGTGCTATAAAGTTCGTGGCGTTCGTTACTTTTCTTTTTTCTAACCTGTGCGTTAGATTTTTGTGGAATGGCAGGACCAAGAGCTGTTTTTCGCATGGTTTGTCTAACATCACGGCGCTTACATCGGGGGGAAAAACTGCTTTTTTTGTCAGCTCCGCGCCGACCGCGCGTCTTTGGCCGAATATATCGAATATTCGAGTGACCGAATACTAGGAATTCGATTCGCGAATCGAATTATTCGGGAACTTTCTATTCGATTCGAATTCGTATATTCGAGTATTCGCACACCCCTACGAATTCTGCTGTAGCTTACAGTCAGATATAATGAACTAAATTAGAAAGTTGCCAGTAGTTTTAGCATTTTATTATAGCGGAACCTTCGACAACAGTTGTTATTTCAGACATTACGTGGCTTTGGTTCGGTAGCCGTGCCATCCATTTGGCGAACTGCCATCATCGTGCTCAGCACCTCGCAAGTCTCTTATGACCCAAACCATGCAGAGATGACAGTAATCGGTACAAGCTCAGAAGTTTCAATAAACCTGTAGCAAAAATATCTGTGCTCAACATACCCTTTCTACAACAGACCAAAATCTTCACTACTATCAAGGTCCGTTATAGCAAGCCTATACCGTAAATGGAAGCTCGTTCTGACCTGGTACTGTAAACAGCTCACTGAAACGTGGCATCCGGTGAACACACCCCTTTGAAATGGCACTAAAACTGATCTCGCCATATTGAGGCTCAAAATACACAGGGTTCTACAAAGGCAATACTGTCTTAAATTGAGGAATTCGTTACATTGAGGTTCCAACTCTGCTACTGCACTGGTTTTAGGAGGTTGGCACAGAGAGGCGAAATTGGCACAGTTCTCCCACTGCCACAATCCCAAACAAAATCGGTCCAGACAGATGCGAAAAGTCTCAAACCCGAGACTTTTCGTGGATGTGCCGTCTCTTGCATTAAGTCTAATTGTCGCCAGCTCGTTTGCGCCCGAGGCTTTCTGTCCAAACAGTGTTTGGTTGCCCTCACCCTTCCGTCGCTGGCGAGCAGGATGGAGTCCGACTTGATGTCCCTGTGGATGACTCCCTGGGAGTGCAGGAAGGCCAGGGCCTTGAGGCACTGCTTGCACACCGTCGCTATCTGCTCCTCACCCATCCTGCACATGGACGGCCAGTCGTGAGCCCCTCAAACTGTCGCTAAACAACACTGTGCACTGGTCCAGATCACTAGAAAACGCTCACTAACCTAACTGGCAGTCATGGGAACGTTACTGCTAAGATGTAAGTGTTAGAGTTACAGTTCATCAGGGGAAAAAAGTAACCCTGCTCCAGTTACAGTTACAAAATTGAAAGAGTAACTTGTTACAGTTACGTCACTAAAGTCATGCCATTATTTCGTCATTACTTTACAAAAAAAATATTACAAAACATTCAAAAGGAACGTTCCTCTAAATTAGCAGTAGATCTTTCGTAAGACATTGAGTTGTTCATGATAGTAAATCGGATTTTTTTGAGAAACTAAGACTTTCCTAATAATCAATACCATGTTTGGTTCTTCCCATTTTAATTTTTACCATGAATAGCTCCCTGAACAAGGTCATGATTTAAAACAGTATTGAAGTAAATCCACTTATATGATAAAGCATTAATAGCTTCTTAAAGGGATGGTGAACCGTAATTTGGATTTAAAAAAAACAATGCTGGAGATGTAGGCGGGACGCTACCATCCCTACAACACTACTAGTAAGGCGACATCTCCAATGGACGGCCGTATTTTTGGAAAAAGAAGTCGAGATTGAACCAGGCCGACGAGGCGCGTGATGTCAAGATACCTAGTTTCCTCCTCTCTTCACTTCGCTCCCTCAAGGCCATGAGGCGGAAAAGACGCGAGGCCGTTCCCTCTCCTTCTCGGAAAAACATGACGTCAACATTCCTGCCAAATGCGCCTCTTTTTTTTAAAAATACGGTCATCCGTTCGAGATATCACTGTATGAGTGATGTTTTGGTGTTTGTAGCATCCCGTTTTACGCTTTTGCCGCGTGTTTTGGAGAATCCAGATTTCAATTCAGCATCCCTTTAAGCAAAGTTACAGCTGACTTTAGTTTTTCAAAATTTTAAGCTAGCAAATACCTGCAGATGAACCACGAAAAACTTTAAAATAAGCGCAACCACCATAACATATACACCAATCCAACAGCACGTGTCTAGATCTCGGACACATCCAGTCGTGGTGCGAGTTTACAATCGGTCAATTCTAATTTCGGATTTATTTGGTGAAGGCGAAAAGGGACGGAGCAATGAAAATCATACAAATGTGAAGTCAATATAATAATATGTACCGTATAATTGCGTGTAAGGGCCGCACCCGTGTAAGGGCCGCACCCGTGTAAGGGCCGCACCCGTGTAAGGGCCGCACCCGTGTAAGGGCCGCACCCGTGTAAGGGCCGCACCCGTGTATTTATAGCAAAATATTAGCAAACAAAGATTTCAAAAATTATTCGTGTATGAGCCACACCCCCCTTCTTTTGAGGCTTGCTAGCCGCGCCGCGGCAGTCAGGTTCGTCTCCACGGCGTGGTAAGTGCGGCTTGGTCCACTTCTCCGCTTATCTTTGCTGCTGCCTTGCTGCTCTGCTCTTTCTCCACTTACGCTCTTTCCACATTCCTTTGCTCTCCTCCTCGCGACGCGGCCACAGAGCAACAGCGAACACGAGTAGACACGCACGGGAGGCGGATGTTTCGCATTTCGAACGCTGCTGAACCACGCAGCACAACCACGCTCCGCAGGTTTTCTTTCCAACGTTCCCTCCCCACAGCCGGAGTGCAATGGGTAAACACTTAAATAGTTATATGGCTGGCTTTAAACTGAAAGTGGTAGTCTATGCCCTTGACCACGGTAAACGTGCTGCTGGTCGTTAGTTCGAAGTTGATGAAAAGTGCGTGCGACGCTGGTGTGACCAGAAGGATGCCTTGGCCGGCACAAGCAAAACCAGGCACGCGTTCCGCGGCAAGCCCTGCAAGTATCCAGAGTTGGAAAATGAATTATTTAACTACGTGGTGGAAGTGCGCAACAATGGATACGCTCTGTCGATGGACATGTTAAGAATGAAAGCGCTGGCACTGGCACGTGTGAAAAACATATCTTCAGACTTCAAAGCGAGTGCCGGTTGGATCCAAAGGTTTATGAAGCGGAAAGACCTTTCGGTTCGTCGAAGAACGACCTCGTATTCTGCGGGAAGCCGTTGGGCTTCCTGCAGAATACAAGGACAAGCTGCTGAGCTTCCAGAAGTATGTCATTGAACTGCGCAGGGAACACGGATACATCCTGTTGCATATCGGCCATGCCGATCAGACTCCAGTTTGGTTTGATTCGCCGAAAAACTGCACTGTAAACGCCAAAGGGCAAAAGAGCGTGCTCGTGCGTACGACGGGAGCAGAACGCCAGCGCTGCACCGTAATGCTTTGCATCACCGCGGATGGACGGAAGCTGCCGCCCTACGTGATTTTTAAAAGGAAGACCATCCCTGCCGAAGAGTTTCCAAGTGGCGTCATAGTCCGTGCTCAAGAAAAGGGCTGGATGAACGACGAACTGGTGGTGGACTGGCTCAAGAATGTTTGGAAGAACTGCCCTGGTGGAATGCTGGTGAAGAAGTCCCTCCTTGTGCTGGACAGCTTCCGCGGACATTTGACTCCCAAAGTAAGGGCGGAACAGCACGAAGCCCACACGCACTTGGCTGTCATACCGGGCGGACTTACTGGCATGCTGCAACCGCTCGATGTCAGCATAAATCGGCCCTTTAAGGTGGAGTTTCGCCGTCGCTACACAGAGTGGATGGCCAGCGGAAACCACGAAAAGACGCCGACTGGACGGCTCAAAAGAGCACCTCTGGCGACCGTTGCCAAGTGGATCCTGGACGCCTGGAATGCTGTCTCCCTCAACATCGTGTCCAAAAGCTTTAAAGTGATGGGCATCTCGAACAATCTTGACGGTAAAGAGGACGACCTCGTGTGGGAGCGCGCCTCCGAAGAGCCTGACCAGTCAGACACTGGCGCCGAGGACAGCATGAGTGACGATGATTGAGTCTCAAATAAAGTGTGCTCGAGACCAGTGCGTCACACCGCAAGTATATTCATTTTTCAATGTGCGTAAATTTTTTTTTTTTTTTCATCGACCCTTGATTATGACAAAAAAAAATGTGCAGCCCTTACACGAATTTATACGGTATAAGTCATATCTTGCAATCCGCTTTGTAGATGCTTTCTTATGCCATTTCAATCAACTCGTCGGTCGAATAGTTTTTTACTGCGTGCGCACTACCTTCTAATCTTCTCTTAAAAAACACAATACTAACGTGCAGGCAGATTTAGCTTCCAGAAATTAAAAAAGCAAATTGCTGTTGATTCTAACGCACAGGTATAATTATGAAGATTGAACACATACCTCATGAAACAGATTTTATGAAACGCACGCCAACACAAAAATAAATACCGTTCACTAGTCATCATTGTTAGAGTCCAACGATGGTTTTTCACTGTCCACAGATGTAATCCTTGCTTTTGCACTTGTACGAGTGTGCGACTGTCACCTCTGGGAGGGTCACCTTCCCAAACAACGCTTTTCAAGCTCGTCGCGTCACTGGGATCGTGAGGCCACGCAGTGCTGCTCTGTTGTTATCTTTTCCCACCAGTGTGATGGCCTTTCGTTTAAACCTCCTAGTGAAATTTCTTTCGTTTTTATATCTAAAAACGGTAGGCAGACACGAGTCCGGAAACGCGAGAAAATGCGCATGAGACGGATACCATAACGGTGAATGCAAACAAACAGTCACAATGGCGATAAGGCTATAATCCGCTGCAAATTAAGAAGGTAGGGCGAGGGAAAGGAAGACCAGGGAGGAGGAAGCAAAGGAAATGCTGGAGAGAGGAGGTTTCCCCTCTCCTACCCAGCGTTCGTCTGCTTCCTCCTCCCCTGGCTTTTTTCACTCACCTTACCTCCTTGAGCTGTAACTTACTATAGCCACCTTATATTGAGTATTAGAGTATTGGTTTTTGGTTTCAATAGTAATGCGCATGTAGTTTTGGGCAACGATTTTGGCGACAAAAAATGTGCATTAGAATAGTGTAAATTCGGTACATGTTTCCACTTTGCTGTATCGACTATTGGTCAACTTACAGTGTGCCGCCGGTGTCATGTCTTGCGTTCATTTTCCGTTTAGTACCATCTTCTGCACCGTACTTGTGCAGGTTCAAAGAATGGATACGTGTTGTTTTGTTGCTTCATGAGTCACTGCTTGGTTTTCATTTCCTTGGTTTCGTCCTTTTATGCGACGTTTCGTTGATTGTCTAAGCGCATTTTGATGTTTGGGTTGTCCTGGTGATGCGAGCTTCCTTTCTCCGGTGAACATTCATTTTGCTCGCCAAATGGTGTGACTGGGGAGGGGGGACAAGGTAGGGGGGGGCTGTCACTTCGTGAGGCACCCGACTGCCTTTTGCGACAGCTCCCTGGACAACAAAAATACTACTCGTTGGTTGTCCAAATAAAAATTTATCTAACAAAAACTTATAAATAGATAGAAACACTACGAGGTTAATGCCAAATAAAACATTTTGTTAGGTACAATGCTGGCTCCGAATATTGAGCTCGTACAAAGCTCGCAAACAAACAAAAGCATTTTATGAAGCCTGCGTACAGCGTTACGCCCACTCACCTGGCGTGGGTGACGATGTCCGTGAGGGCCCCTCCCTCCAGGAACTCCATGACCACCCAGAGCTCATCCCCGACCAGGAAGCTGTCGTGCATCTCAACAATGTTCGGGTGGTGGTAGTCCCGCATTATCACCACCTGCGCCAGAGCACCGGGCTCAAAGCTCGCCCAGACAACCACATCCTACGACTGGGCACTGATTCAATAAAGCACTGTGGAAGCTTAGAAACCTTGTATGCGAAGAGGAACGTACACGAGGGAGTGTTTGGCTTACGGTTCTGCAACAACGAGCGGTTCGGGCCTTTTGAAGGGAAAAGGGATGATCGAGGAAATTCGGGAATGCGTGCTGGTTCTCCGGGGAACCCGGCTTGGAAACCCCCGCCACAATCGATTGTGGGGTCCCAATGTCCGCAGAAGAGGACGTTGCGATCCCGCAATCAATGACTTCTCCGGCATGTCTGCAGTGCCGTATCCGTTATTGGGTACGCTGTTGTGTTCAGCGTCCTGGCTTTTGGGTTTAAACGGCTCGTTATCTGAAGGGCTCTTTTTATGAACTGTAAGACGGGTAGACTCCTTTTAGCTCAAACTTGAAGGAACCAGTAGATTTTGTTTGATGGCGAATTCGAGTGATCCCAATCTCGAGCGCTCTTTCCAGAGTGCGCGAGATGGGGTGGTGGAAAGAGAGCACAGTGGTCCTATCGGCTGATTCTTTCCGAGGGCGCCCCTCCCTCTCAGAGCGCTCCATAGCACTCAGAGTTTAACCGTTGGAGTACGGAGTGGCGCGGGCATCATGTGATGCGTGAACAGGGATCACATGGTTTTGTCGACGATGGCGGCGGCAGTGGTCTGCAGGGTGCAACACGACGGCGATGGATATCTGGTTCTACAAAGTGCTTGCGTGTTCAATGGTGCGAGGATTACAGCGGACGAGACGACGTTCGCTCCTCACCATGACAGGAAACCTCGACTGGGGAAGCATTCCCAGTACTTTTACGAGATCATTCATCTCGTGGCTATGAATTCGCTAAGCTTAACCAACAAAGAAACAACTCTCCGAGCTCGCTGCCGATTTACCATATTTTGGGGACTCTTCTAGCTGTGAGAAAAATGTGGCTTATTCACCATTTAATATTTGCTTGTCTGCCGTACACATGACTGCTATCGCATCACATTCACTGTCGAAATGCAACAACCATTTCCAAACATTGGCGTTCTGCGAAAATCAATGCACATGCTGCTGATTACTTCTTTTTTTTTATAACATGTCGAAGCGTAGGACAGTCTATAGTCAGTCACAGCCGTTATTTCGTGACCATTGCGAGCATACATTTTACTCAATCGTCCATTGTACGTTATAAAAATAGTTTTTTATCTGTTTTCGATGTCAAAAAGTTTTACATCCGTGACTGGTCCGAGAATGTCAGAGCACTCCGAGCCCGGTAGTTGTGATTGGCTGAAAAGAATCTCGAGTAGCTTTTTTTAATACTTTAACAAATAAAGATTTTACTTTATTTGCCTATTCGGGACGCTAACCACTTTTGTGATGTCTTCCACCGGGGGCACCGAGGAATGCCAGGGCTCGTAGCCCGCTCGGCCTTCGCAAAAAACGAATGAAAAGAGTGAACGTCGGATGGCCCGTTTAACATTCTTCAAGGATGATCTCCATGAAGATAATCTCTGGAAACCCTTTGCGGTCTTCGCGAAAAATAGCTTATTGGGTGCGGGGCAGGGCACAGTTCGAATGTGCCCGTTCCTTTGCTTCGGTGCAAAAAACAAACTCTCTTCAAAACGTGCCCTAAAACAAATACGGTTTCGAATGATCGCCCTGGAGAAGTGACTGTCGTCGACAATGTAGATTGGATATGCTGCGTTATTTGTGAGATTGTGAGGTACGTGGAATATGTCATTTGATTGATGAGTGTCATGGTTCCGCAACTCCATGCCACGATGAGAAGAAAGAAGTGGACCACAAAAGAGAAAGCCGGAGGATAGAAGAAAAAGAGAGGACGGCCAGCGAAACCTGAAGTTTGGTCGGAGGAGGGCAAGGAGGTCTACGGCTATGGTCCAGGACTTGCTCGACACCTGCTACGCCCAAGCTGTAATGGCAACTCTTTACTTCACAAGCCCGGGATTCGAGGCGACTATGGTGAGCTGCACCTCTTCATGGTTCGTCCACGCAACAAACTCTCGGGGGCATTCGGTGTGAGGGACCGAGGGACACCTGTCTGCCCGTCGTTGAACTACATAATTAAACCTACTTTTTTGTATTTTATGCCATTTTAATTATCCTCCTGACTTGCCATTTGTTCCTATTTGTATTTTGTAAATAGAATGTAGTAATTTCTCTGCCGCCATGCGTTCTCTTAGTTACACTTGTGAGCCGTCACAGGCGAAACGTGACAATGAGACTCATTGAATTTTACGTTGTGAGCGGGAATACCCGTGCCTTTTGGCTATCTTGCGTCATGAAATATTTTTGACGCTTAAGGCCTTTGTAGGTTAATATGGTTGAGTATGTGGCGGTACAAAAAATCTGCGTAAAATTAAACAAACATTTTAATAACATTAATTCTGTCACGTACAAGATCACTAAAAAAAACAGCTTTTCTTTTTTCTATTTGTTCCCAGAGGTGGAAAACAATGCTTTCTCAAAAACCCCGAGAAATTTTGTTCGCCATAAAACGCACAAAAAACGATGAAATGCAGCAATTTAGCCACCACCAGTGTCAGGAATTGCACCTATGCAGGCTGTCACAGCCCACTCACTCATGAGAAAACCCACAGTCGGGAAACACCGACGCACTCTCTCAAAACAAAGGACGCGTGCTGTAAGTCACCTGGTTCGAGACTGCCGTGGGAAAATTCTATAGAAATACTGCTATGCCTTGAAATTCTCCAGAGTTAAAATATGCCCCTTAAAATATACCTTCGATGAAAATTTAAGATAGCTACGCGCAAGCGCCGACTTCTTGGCACTTTTAGTGCGAGCCCCAAGATTCGTGACACACTGCATCGTGGGTTTTCAAAATGAGTTCCTAGGAATCCAAGGGGGTTCCCCAGAATGTCCTCCCGGGTTCTTCGGGCTACCAAAATTACCAGACTTCCCCCAAAAAGAGGATTTCCAGTTTAAATGCCATTCTAACAGACATGAGCTGCACATTGTTACGTGACTCTGTGCTAAATAGTACCAGAAATGTGCATTACTGGGCTCGTCAGATTTACCCGCACCAGCCTAACCCGGCGCAGGGAAATGCGGGGCAGCATATTTCCCATACGAGGCTGCCCTCGTAAACCGAATGCGGCTGTGCATGCCCAGTGCAGCTGGTGCGGAGGATGTACCGTAAAATACCGGGCAAGCGCCCACTCAAAATTCAGAGATAATCGCAAAAAAATGGGGAATGGGCACTTGTCCGGTCATCAATTTTACATATCAATGTACTGTGCATGTTTTCTCAGGTCTTGGAAACTTGGATATGGGCGCTTAATGGGGAATGGGCGGATGCGCACTATTCTACGGTAAGTAAATGGAATACAGCAAATGTTTATGGTCTCTAAGCCTCGGCATTGCTTTACCACCTCGACGAAGAGATTTGATGCGAGTGCCGCCGTTGTCGTGTGGCGACTACTTCTGGCTGCCAAAACTTCCGCGGACCTTTGAGGAGGGGCACTACCCAGAAAAAACAATTTCTGCTAAAAAAGCTGATTTGAAAAATGTCATATTTACATCCATCAACATCTAGGGAGTATTCCCAGAAAGTTTCATTAGTTTACACTGCATAGTTAATTTTTATAAATTATTTTCGGTTCACCAATGCTAAAGAAAAGGTAGACATTAAACTTTGAACCCATTTTTCTCCAAATCACTTTTTGGCATAAATTTCACTTTAGGAAAACTATCGCTTTGTTATTACGTAACTAGGACTCATTTTTAAGATTTTTTTCTGGGGTGAAATTTTAAAGGGGAAGATAGCTATGAGCTTGTATTTTTTTATTTTTATCATTTTTCATGCTCGAGACCTAAAATTCTGCGCAAAATATGGAAATCTAAAAAAACAGGATTTGTGTTTATGTGGACTTTTTGTGACGAAAAATGGTATAATATAGAAATGTAGCTCCATAGCTATCTGCTCTCAACCGTCCTAAAGCAATATACAGAACAGCCCGCTTATAACGAACCCGGAAATAGCTAAATAATAGATATAGCGAATGGATTTCAATTTCCCGTTACCGTTTGTATACCTGCAATGAGATATGAGCCCGCTTTTAATGAAAAACCACGGGAGGCCTGCCACGGATATAGTGAAAAAAACTGCAAAAACATACCCATATTAAGAGCAAAAAAAGCTATTTACGGCATAATTCTAGAAAATAACCTCAAAAAGAAACAACTGCATACCGATAACGCAACTAAGGCGACCGCCACGTTTCGTTTGAGAGAGGGAGGAATTCGCACTGTTCCGTAAGTTATCTTCTCCACAGTACGCGTGACGTGCCCCGTTGCGCACGTCGTAGCGGGAAATTTCGTGTTTTCGGCCGTTCCCGTCTGCTCCGCATTTTTTCTCCTCCCTTTTGACATCTGGCTTTGGACCTACACGAAAGTCAACGCCTCATTGCGAAAGTACACGAATTTCACGAAACCCTATCTGACTGAACCTACCGCTGCCGACCGTGACTGACTTTGCCAACGACATGGCGGGCAAGGAACGGAGAGTTCTGCTTCTGCTTGATAGCTGTAGCGCGCATCACATCAATCCGCTGCTTAACGCCGTGGAAGTCCTCTTCCTGCCGCCAAACACCACGGCCAAGCTTCAGCCGATGGACCAGGGCGTTATTGCCAACTTACAACGTCCATTACCGTCGCCGAGTTGTGGAGCGTCTACTCTGATGAAGCCCTTGCAAACTCTGACCCCGTCAATACGAAGGCAGGTAGCAAAAGTGACGAGAGTGGCGACTCTGCGAAGAAGTCGGTGTCCACCGAAACGGCTCTCGCTGCGGTGGAGACCCTCCAAGACTACTTCGTTGGTGCCGCGCGGGTTGGACTTGGACAAAACCTGTTCCTGCACTTCCGACGCAATCGAGCAGGCGATTGTGAAGACGTCCCTTACGCGGTACGTACAACTGCAAATCGATGGCTATTTTGGAAAGCATTAAAATTGCGTGCTGAAGCAACTGATTTCTCTTCTTTTTTTTCCGAAATTCACATATAACGAAAAATGGATATAGCGAACTGATTTTAGTTTCCCGCGGCATTCGTTATAAGTGGCCTGTACTGTAACACATGAAAACGACAAATTTATAAGCAACTTCGAAACGACAGTTTTTTACGTAGACACGCCACTTTCATCTTTGAACATTTGCAATTTTTTTTGTACTTCGCCCAGGTTAACAAAATTTGGCAGAAATGTTCTGAACATGAACAGAAACACGCTATATAAATGTCATTTAAATCAGAGAAGTGGTTCAAACATTCCCTTCTTTTTTTGGGTAGTGTTCTGGAGACTGAACCGCGGCAGAATAAGCGTCTGGTGCACGCACCACCCCCGCTACTGCAACGCTGCCAGGGTTGCGTCCGGCGACGACGCGACACCTCCACGACAGCCACAAATTGACGGACCACTTTCGAGGACGCGGAAACGTTCCGGTCGGAGACGGGTTGGAACGCCGTGGAAGCGAGGAGACGGCGCCGAGCGCGTCTGCCCACCTCGTTGAAGAGCAGCTCCCTGCGCTGCTGCTTGCGGAGGTCCATCTTCTTGACGGCCACCTGGCGGCCACTGGGTTTCTCGGTTGCAATGCACACGATGCCCGTTGAGCCCTCCCCGATCTTCACAAAGCTGTCCAGGTTCTCCCGGGGGTCCCCGGAGCTCACCACCATCTGCAGCGCTGCACGGAACTGCGGGAAACACCGGGAGTCAGTTAGACGGCTCGGGTGTTGTTCCGGTCACCACCGCGAGGTCTAGAGTTCTCGATCACCCGCGTTTCGGAGACCCCTTTTGGATCGGCGAAAGTGATATGGGCACCCCATCTACCATGGGGGAAGGGATATAGGATGGTTACAATGACCGAGGAGTAAACAAAGAAAAAAAATATGCATGCAAACCGACTTTGAACTTTAGAAACGAGTATACCATAATATCTCGAGAGGCCCCACTACCCCCGAAAGTTAACTCGCCCCTATTTTTGCTTCGATCTGCATTTTTTTTTTTAAAGACCGAAAGATATCTCATTTCTTAGTAATTGTACAGTTGGAATCAATGAGGACTTCAGTGTAAATGTGGCTAGTTAGCCATGGTGGGATATAAGCAAACATTGCCAACTGAGAAGTACAGTCATCTTGGCTTCACTGCTCCTTGCCACTATAACCAGTTCGGCAGCAATAACGGCGAAAGAAAAAGGTAAGCAAAGATAAGGAATTCAAAGTGTGATTGCTCAACCACTTTTGTCGACACACTCGACTTGACGAAGACTTTGTTTTGCTTATTTTCTTTTGGGGCTTTTGGGGTCGCGAAGCAACAGCGGTGTTCGGGGAAAGAGCGCACACTACCGTTCCAACAGCAAGCACTCCCTGCCCTCGCTATGCGCGTGCATGCCCTTCCCCTTGTTTTTGCCATCGTCCACTTTCTTTTTTTTTTTCATGGTGTTTTTTTTTTTTCACGGTGTTTTTTTGTTTTGGCAACTGCTTTTTTTGTTGCATCTCCCCGTGTGCATATGCTTGTTAGGCAGTCTTTCAGCCCTGCAATGCAAGCTATGTGCTCGCCGCAGGCGCAATCCGACCTTAGGAGAAGCAATTGGCTGCCGTGCTTCGTTCGCTATATCGCACTCCCGTGGCGGGGACCGCCACGGGAGTTTGATACAGAAAAACAATGCTCCCATACAGAAAGACAAAGCTCCTATACAATTACACTTGATTTTCAAGGGGATGTTTGGACTGTTCGATATCAATTATAATTCGAAATACCCGGGCGTGATATAACTGGGCACGACTGTATACATCAAAAAAGGGCTTACCGCAATGTTTGGTCGCAATTTTACGATAGAAAAAGGACATGCGCGCTTTTTTTGTGCTGTTTCCTACAATGCATCTCATAGACCACTCCAATTTTGCAGGAGACCGACGGTAGGCTTTTTTGCATCCCCTCAAACCTGGCTGAAAAGCCGTGAGCCTAACTTAAAATCTGAACTTAAAAAAATGCCTACTTCAAACTGTTTTGCAATTTCTTTTTTTTTACTTTATTGAAATGATTACTGTGTACATGATGCGTCGAAGATGCAAACCTTGGCAATGCGCCACAGCAATTTTTTTTGTGTGTGGTTTTTTGAGATAGTAGTTAAAACCAAAGGTATCAAATCACTCCGTGTGTGTATGCCCTAGTCGAAAAGCATTGTACAGTAAACTTTCGTTAATTCAACCTCGACGGGACCTTGAAATTTGGTCGAATTATCCAAATGATCGAATTAAAAAAAGGACAGAAAAATTGTTAAAATTAAACTTCCTTTTATTGTCCAAAGTACTCACGGATAGTCTGCTGCCATCTGCGCTTAAAACGTGTGTCTAAAAGCAGGCTTCGGAGAGCAGCGTAACTAAACGTCACTGTCACGTCCCCCAAAAATAGTGCACAAAAAAAAAAAAGAAAAAAAGAAAAAAGAAGCCGAGCCAAAGTCGGCTTGGCGACAAAACAAAATAACAAAAAGAAAAAAAAGGAAAAGAGAATTTGTGTGTTTCTGACGTGCAGATGGACCCCACACGATGCTACAGAGAAGCGCTTTGAGAGCGCTCGCTGAGAAAGCTTTGAACCGACTTTGGCGCCCAACAATTAGACCGTCAGCAACAAAAACAAAACAAAACAAAAAAAAAAAGGAAAAGAGAATTTACGTTTTCCGGTGCACAAGATGGAGCGCACATGATGCTGCAAAACAAAACGCGCGCTGGCTCGTGCGCGCCCAACCACGTGCTATGTTATCCGCGCTACTCCATGCCAGATTGGTTGCGCTGGCTCATATCATTCGTTACAGTCCATCTCAACGGCCTAGAGGAGTAGGCACATATTTGCGCACGTTTGGCTTTGCAGCAAAGGGCCAGTGTTTCTCTGTACGTTGGTGGTTTTAGGGGCGAAGTTCCTTAGGGTCTAGCCTTGTCCGTCTGGTGTCCGTGCTCACATCGATTGCCATCCCATCTGTCTTCTTAAAAAAATAAAAAAAATTAGGGGTGTGCGAATACCGAATAGTAGTTTTCGAATCGAATACCGAATCGAATCAAGAAAAAAAAGCCGAATATCGAATCGAATATCGAATAGTGATTTTATTTGTAGGAATTTTTCAAAGTGTGCTGCGAATGAGACTATTATATGTCCAGAGTATGCGCCTGTTGCAGAATATGCATCTTGTACAGAACAAAAGCTGAAATGTAAAAAAATTCTGGTGAAAAAAATAAAAAAAATAAATAAAAGCAGTTGTTGGATATTGGGCACTAAAGATCCAATTTTATGGCACAAATAAAACTTATCTACCCTAAACGTCACAAAAAAAAAAAAAAAAAAACCACCAAGGTTACATTTACGCCTGCCTTTTTTTCTTGTTAAAAGCACAACCTAACACCGTGACTTTCTTTTTTTTTTGTAAATATTTGTATATCTCGGAAAAGGGGCATTTTGCGATATTTGGTTTCCATTTTAAGGAAGAAAAAGGGCACCGGAGATTTTATCTCACATAAATAAACAGATAGGTGTTAAATTTGAGTAAACAGGCTTAAACAATATAATCTAAAGTAAGAAAGAAAAAAACGTGGTTAGGTAGCGCAAGACACCGTCAAACTGCCGCTATGCGTCCATTTTTCAGTCTATCTATTCTGTTTTAGAGAGGCTTGATTTAAAAGAGGAACCAAGCGAAACTGAAACCACTGAAGCCACGGAGACGGCTTCAGCGCAGATTGGTCGCGTACGCATTTGTTGTGTTGTCGCGTGGAAAAAGGCGAGCAAACATGAAGGGCGACGACGCCTGCCGTCCCTGCCCTGCCTGCCCGATCCTGATCGACGCTTTCGTCTTTTCGTCACCTTCTTGCAGTTCGCAATTCAAACGCGGCTATCGAACGGTTGGAAACCCTCTCAAATCTAGGCACACTATTTTTCCGTTCCGTTTCGTTCCGAATCAGAATTTGCGGCTTGCGGTTCCAAAGGAACGACGACGATAACAACGATAGGGAGTTTTAGTAGACCGTATTTCCCCCTCCGCTAGCCCTCCGCTACAAAGAAACCGCCACTGCGCCTGCGCGCCGATGGCCTTGGCTGTAGAGTTCCGGGTAGCGGAGGGGCTGAGCGGAGCGGGACACACGGTCTACTAAAACTCGCTGATAACTCGGCTGGTTTCATCGGCGTGGCTAACGTGATTATCTTTCTGTGATCGTGCAGTTGCCGATTTCTGTGAGTGCGGCAAGTGTGTTTAACATCGGTGCTTCAATTTGAAACAAGGGCCTTTACTCGTGAAAAGAATTAGGCATTGCGCGGGATTCCGGCCTTCCAACAATTCCTCTCTGGAAGCGGCACAAACGGGATGTTTCGGTTGTGATTCAAGGGTAGATTGTGTCACGATCGTGAGTAAATCTGTGTGCTATAAAGTTTGTGGCGTTCGTTAGTTTTCTTTTTTTCTAATTTGTGCGTTAGATTTTTGTGGAATAGTAGGACCAAGAGCTGTTTTTCGCACGGTCTGTGCAACATCACGGCGCTTATATCGGGAGAAAAAACGGCTTTTTTGTCAGATCATCGCCGACCGCGCGTCTTTGGCCGAATATATTGAATATTCGAGTGACCGAATACTAGGAATTCGATTCGCGAATCGAATTGTTGGGGAACTTTCTATTCGATTCAAATTCGTATATTCGAGTATTCGCACACCCCTAAAAAAAATATTTGGGCAGTCGACAGGATTCAAACCTGTGCAGGGAGACCCCAATGGATTTCTGCCTTAACCACTCGGCCACGACTGCGGGACGAGTAGGGGGCTCCGAGATATGGTAGTAACTCAAGAGCTGGGGATGTCATGGATGAAACGTTGCATGTAGCCGCTCAACGTCTACACAGGAGAGGGCGCTGCGGTCAAATGCGTATAGAATCGCGTTAAACTTTGCATGCATTGGCTCAACGCTATAGACGAGAGGGTGCTGCGGTCAAATGCTCAAATGCGTATATAACCACATTCTCTTTCTTACATGGACCCTTGACTTAAGGGGGGACACTGGCTAGAGGTCAAACTTTTGAACTACTGAAGTGATCGGAATGAAATTTGCAGGGAAGATTTAACTTCAGATGTAGGTGTACTGTGCAAAATTTCAGCTCTCTAGGACAAATTTACATACCTGCATAAGATGATGTGTCACTTTTCATTAAGAAATCTATGATATGCAAATGAAGCTATTAAGCATCATTTTGACTGCTTGAATATAAAGTGGGGGATATGGGACCTCGGGCTATCTAGTTTTAATAACTTAATTGTAAGTATTTCAGGAACAGTTATTACCTCAAACTATGAGATGCATATCTGTCCTATGTCAATTTTTGAAAACTTGTTTTTTTATCACTGAAGACTTCAACTTCAAACAAAATAAAGTAGATAGCCCAATTCCTCAGTAAATTTCAGTTCAGAAACATCTTGATTGTGGTATTAGGGTACTTTCACCTTCGAACAAAAGATTCCTTCGTATGAAATTTGCAGCAAAAAGTGAAACTGAGAAAAATGCATTCAAATATTGAACTCCTTTACTTTGTTGCTGCCTCACAATCTGTTAAAAATATTTTATATCAACATAACTATTTGGCGTATGGTTATTGAATTTGGTGTAAGGGTGTATAATTAGTTTCTAAAACTGAAAACCTCAAAATTAAAAAATGAATTTTAAAAGAAAATTTAAAATTTAGGCCCATGTCCCCCCTTAAGCGGTGGAGATGCGTTCCCACGGCTTCTAGCGGATCTAAGCTGCTCCGCTAGAACCACTGGCTCTGCCTTTCACCGACCATAAAGCAGTAATAATGAAGTCAAAATGCAACCCAGAACTCAGCACTATCTATGAGCAATAAAAAAAAATCAGCACCATCAGCACTACCCATGAACAAAATCAGTATCATCAGCACCACCAGAGCTTCGCCCCAATCAACATCATTCACCAAGTGGAGATGCGGTAATTTTTCTGCCGTGGTGCCCTGCATTGTGAGCCCGCGCACATTCGCTCGGGACGAATTATCTGATGCGGAGTCTTCCCAAGTTCGAACTATCGAATTTTTCCTCCCATAGAAATGTATGGGTGCTTGCCGGGACTTTTGAACACGATCGAATTAAACAAAAAGTTGAATTAACAGAGGTCGAACTAACGAAAGCTTACTGTATATTTTTTGTGACCTCTAGCTGTCCAGAGGTTTTTTGTCTAAACTGAAGGGTGGTTGTGCTTTGTAGGCAGCATCACTCAGCTTGTTCTGGGATGTGGGTTAGGGTTGTGTGCGTGACATTGAAAAACAAGATGTTCGGTGGTTTTGTGGCAGTTGTAGTTCCGGATCTAAGGAGGTTGGTTGAATAAAATTATTAGCCAAGTTTAAAATGTTGTCTGTCCCCATTACTTTCTCTGTGTAAATATTTCCTTCTCCTTCCCTAGTCTCGAGTAAAATCATCACGCTAAACAATAAACCCCCAAAACAATTTTACAAAAACCATCGGAGGATGAAGAAAGTTTGAGACAGGCACATCAGCGGCCACAAAACATCCATACGCGGATGAAAGGACCTCGCCAAAAATACTGCCCTACTGTTCCCTCGTGAATAGGTTCAGAATCTCTCGTGGGTCACTTGTGCAGAAGCTGCGACAGCACGTCCGATTGTCCGTCTCAATCAGCAGCCAATCACTCTCACTTTCACCAGGGACCAAAATCGGACACCTGGGCCGCTTCGCCGATTGGCGTCACTATCTCACCTGACGCCTAACGTACCCACGAGTGCTTTTCAGTTCATGCGACTGACTCCCCGGGGACAATAACTCGGGGTACCCGGCATTACAATATAATGGCTGCCGCAGGTCTGTCCTTGCTTCGATTAATTAAGTCCGCTTTCACGTGCAGAAAGAGGGTGAACGGGCTCAAAATGTAAGAGAAACGAAGCGCATTCCTGTTCTTTAGTTATCATTATTTCTGGGGACGGTCGCGTTAAGCGAGAATCAAAGAGATCGTCGGGCACGGCTCGCGTCTGCTAAGCGGAATTGCCCGTAACGCCGGGTGCTCTCTCCCCAAGAATCCAGTCCTGCAACCTCAAAATCCGACAGAGCCGAATCAGATACCTGACGGACAAAGGCTGGCGGGCGGCTCACCTGCTCGTGGGACAGCCTCTGATGCTCGTTGGGGGGGTGTCCCGGCTGAGGCTTGGCCGCCACCGGAGAGACCTGGTCTCCACCCGCAGAACCCTTCCCGCCGTGGTCCTGCGTGATGCAGCCCCCCCTCTTCGTGAGCCGTGTGCTCCTCGCATTTCCACTACTCTCGGCGGCCTATCTCCCGACACTCTAGAGTGGGGGGTCTCTGTACCCAGCCCACAGGCCAGGTCCGGCCACGGTTTTTCCAGTAACGCCCGGCCCGCTGCTACCCGACGCATAAATAAATGCGCGCGAAACGAACGGAGCCGTGACGCACGTCATAACTGTAAACGAAAATATAAGAAAATGAGAGAGAACTGCATAAAAATGCGGGTTTTCTATCTATACTATTTGTTGTACATCGTTATCACCAATATTACGACTTGTAGTCCCTTATTTTATGCCTGTGTAATTATGTTCTGGTTCTCATTTATAGCGTGCTTGGTATCCTGTGCCATAACTAGAGCCCTGCGCGGATAACAGCTTGAGTATCCGCATCCGCAGACTTTGTATCTGCATCCGAACCGCACCGACAAACGTTTTACATTTTACGACGGTTAAACCAGCTGAACTACCAAAATAGGGAGAGGGGAGTAAAGACAAGCCAGCGATCGCTTGTCTTTACTCCCCTCTCCCTATTTTCGAGGTTCAGCTGGTTTAACCGTTGTAATATGTACCACCAACTAGCTCAGCTTCTACCCCCTTTTTACATTACTGTATTCGTATCCGATATGCATACTTTGTATCCGTATCCAAACTGCATCCGCAAAATGTGGAACCATGTCAATGTTCTTGCTAACCACCACAGGTTACGATTATATTTAGACTAGAAAAATCAGCGGAAATCACGCCAACCGCGTTCTTCCCCGCCGCTTGCGGAATTGGAAACTTTCACCTGTGGCCCCTTAACTCTTCCCTGAAGTCTGAACGCTTAAAAAAAAAAAAAAGGTCATAAAAAAAAAAAAACTTTGGAAAGAGTGGACGAGAAGCAGTGGTAGGAAGACAAAATCCTTTCTGTGATGTTACCGAGCGTACGCGGCCACCTCGAGTCTCACGGTGTTTCGTGTCAGTCAGCGGGCAGATGCGCCGCTAAGATAGAGTCCAAGGCCTGATCGGATTGATTAACATGTTGTTCCAGAAAGATTGCGGCCTGGAGGCGCCCAAATATATATATTGAAAGAAAACTTCTCTTTTATTTTGCTTGGGGCGGCAACGGAGGCTGCGCGCGGCAGCCGCTGGCATTGCTGGCACCCTGGCGTCGTAACTGGACAAATATGAACTGCCAGACTTTCTTGGCTAGAACTCTAAGCATACAAAAAAAGAAACAGGCAATTTACGGGCTGCCTATGTGCGTGCGCTGCTGATTCCGAAACTTTGCAAACCGTGGCGCCGCAGGGTCGTGCTCGCTGTCAAAGCACTTTTGTTTTTGGTATCACGACCACACCAATCTCTGCGGAGAGGGGGAGGTTTCTTCTACAGTATAGACCACTTACAACGTAACCGCTTATAGTGCAGGACCGGGTATAACGCAACTTTTTAAAACCACCGGTTCGCCTCCCATAGAACCCCGTGTAATTACATACCGCTTAAAATGCAGGCGTGCCAAGGGAAATACCGGTCATAGTGCGGTTTCTGGAACAGTCCGCCGATCGCGCCGACAACCGACGCAGCGAGCACGCTTCCCTGTGCGACACTAGATAACGGCGCTAGCCGCAAGCGGCACTCGCAGGCCAAGGAGGTTGCTCGAAGAAGCGGGGAGAAGCGAAGAGGCCATAGTGACGGAGGGACGCATGCATGTGTCGTTCACGTGCGTGCATCCCTCCGCTGCATTGGAAAACAGCCGCAACGACAGACCAATCGCAGATCGAGGAGAAGCGTTCGCGCGCGTTGCATGCCGGTCGCGGGCCGGCTTCTTTTATCCGCAAACATGGCGTCGGTTGTGATCGTCGTCGTAGACGGCGTGGTGGAAGCTCATCGTTCCACGTAAAAGCGTTACTCTTGACTGAATTTTTGTTGTTTGTCGCTATGATAACCCAGCACATACTAGAAGGGAAGATCCACCTACTCGTGCGGCGATGTCGTGGCGGCACTTTCAAAACGGCAGAAACGCCCGTGTCGTCGTGTTTGTTTACTTCGACTACAGTGGTGATTTTTAAGCATTTGTGTCCTCGAACATCGCCCGGATTTCTTATTTGGTGCATTTCATGCGTGTGCTCAAGTTGAAGGTATTACTGGCGCGTACCGTATGAAGGATGCAAATTTTCAAGCATTTTCATCACCGGAGAAAAGTGATTAGGGTTAGCAATCCTGAACGCTCGCAACGTCCGTCTGCAACCCGCGACGCCGTTAAAAGGCTGCGCCAGGCAAAAGCCGCTCATTTCTTTCAAAATGTGTGACACACTTGAAACAGAACTGTACTAGTCTGGTGAAATAACGACTTTTCTCAAACTAAGGTTTATTTTCGTCTAACATAAAATAAATTCTTTTACAAAGGTAGGTTGTCTCATGGCATGTATTTTGGCCTTAAAAACTGATGTTTTGGTTATAGCGTGGTACCGCTTATAGTGCGGATTTCCGCGACTCCCGCGACATACGTTATATACGGTCTACACTGTACTTTCTTGTGACTTGTTCGTTTGAGGTCTTCTTTGCCCGGAGTTTTCACCTCTTTCCCTGCCAAAGAACTAGCTTTCTCAGGACTATTGATGCCCCGCATTCTTTATTTTTTTTTGTTTTTCCATACAGTGTAGACCACATATAACGTATGTCGCGGGAGTCGCGGAAATCCGCACTATAAGCGGTACCGCGCTATAACCAGAACATCAATTTTTCAGGCCAAAATACATGCCATGAGAAACTTACCTTGTAAAATAATTTATTTTATGTTAGATGAAAAATAAAGCTTAGTTTGAGGAAAGTCTTTATTTCACCAGACTAGTACACTTCTCTCTCAAGTGTGTCACACATTTTGAAAGAAATGAGCGACTTTTGCCTGGCGCAGCCTTTTAACAGCGTCGCGGGTTGCGGACGAACGTTGCAAGCGTTCAGGATTGCTAACCCTAATCACTTTTCTCCGGCGATGAAAACGCGTGAAAATTCGCATCCCTTATACGGTACGTGCCAGTAATACCTTCAACTTGAGCACAGGCAGGAAATGCTCCAAATAAGAAATCCGGGCGATGTTCGAAAACAACACAAATGCTTAGAAATCACCACTGTAGTCGAAGTAAACAAACACGACGACACGGGCGTTTCTTCCATCTTGAGAGTGCCGCCACGACATCGCCGCACGAGTAGGTGGATCTTCCCTTCTAGTACGTGCTGGGTTATCATAGCGACACACAACGAAAATTCATAGTCAAGGATAGCGCTTTTACGCGAAACAACGAGCTTCCACCACGCCGTCTACGTCAACGATCACAACCGACGCCATGTTTGCGGATAGAAGAGGCCGGCCCACGACCGGCTCGACCGGCTGGCAACGCGCGCGAACACTTCTCCTCGACCTGCGATTGGTCTGTCGTTGCGGTTGTTCCCAATGCAGCGCAGGGACCATAGAGGGAGGGACGCACGCACGTGAACGACACGTGCGTGCGTCCCTCCGTCGCTATGGCAACTCGAGCATCTCTCTTCGCTTCTCCCTGCTTCTTCGAGCAACCTCCTTGCCCCGCGAGTGCCGCTTGCGGCTAGCGCCGTTATCTAGTGTCGCACAGGGAAGCGTGCTCGCTGCGTAGGTCGGTCGGCAAGCTGTTCCAGAAACCGCACTATAACCGGTATTTCCCTTCGCGCGCCTACGTTTTAAGCCGTATGTAATTACATGGAGTTCTATGGGAGGCGAACCGGTGGTTTAAAAAAGCTGCGTTATACCCAGTACTGCACTATAAGTGGTTACGTTGTAAGCGGTCTATACTGTAGATAGCATTTTTGACGAGATGAAATGCACTAACTGAAGTGATCTTCAGTAAGAATCAGATCTTTTCTAGGATTCCTATGGTTCCTTCGAAACGCGTTCATACATTTCATGGACACACGGTTCGTCGACGCCGTACGTTTTGTGGGCACATGGCCCTGCGACGTTTTGTCGACAATGTATTTCTTCACTAAGCCGCTAAAAGCTAGTGCACGATTCACTAAGGCGTGCTTAACCAAACCATGTCCCCCTCCCCCCCCTGTAATCAAGCGAGACGCAAAAAGTTTGTTATGAAAAGAGCAGGGTTGTGCGCGACGAAACGTCACAGGTTTTTCGATGAAACGAACAAGGGAAGCCTTTCGATCAAACGTCGCATGTCGACGAAATGATCAGTAGATGAAACATCAGTCGACGGACTGAATGCCACCGGACAAAAATTTTGATCCGGATCCGCGGATCTGGATCCTGACATCCACATCTGATCTGCAATCCGCCAAAATCCGTTTAATTTTTATCCGCATCCGCCAGTTTACTGCAGATATCCGCGGATATGCAGGGCTCTAGTCATAACTACTGCATACTATTAGATCTAGCATCCTCGTAAGTCTTATGTCCGATGTAAATATGTGCACGACCTTGCATTTTTTAGAATATTTGCTGTAGTTTAAGTTTTACAGTGAAGCTGTTAAGGGCTAGCTTCCCCGGGATCGTGTCCACCAACAAAGAAATGATGACACCGAACTCTGGACAGCTACTGCCATCTATGAGTGACAGTGGCAACCAGACAACTGGTTGCCGCCGTCGCTCCATAGATGCGGCAACCTTTCTTCGGAGGAAGAAGAGCAGAAGCGGAACGAGCAGCGATGTGTGCAGCAGTGCAAATAGTTCTGCAACTGCCGCTATCGCCTAAAGTTAGACAGCGTCGAGCGCTTCAGATTCCCTTGCGAAAGAAGAGCAGATCGATCGCCTGGAAAGCCCCTGCTGAGAACAGAAGCTACAGCTCCGCTGCTCTTCCTTCTTCACCAGAGTGGAAAGGCTGAAAGTATTTTTGTGTTAGGTACTCATTTAGGCTTATTTCCTCGTTTATACTGTCTCGTTTTATTTTCTGGCCCTTGACACCGCAACAGCTCCCTAATCCGGCCCATCAGCCAAAGCAGGGATTATTCGACCCCCTTAGCTTTGAACTGTTGGTACGAGCTGATGTCATTGCACAATTTAAAGGGACAATGACAAGGTATTTATGCTCGCCAAGGTTTTTATTTGTACATGACATATCAAAGCCACACTACCCAGAAAACAATTTCCGGCTCGAAATTTATTTTCTTTCCTCCTGAAAACCGCCGATCTCTGGCTGGTATGAGTCGCGCTCACTCTCTTTTTCGTGGTCACGGGCCGTTTTTTATGGTTTAGACACAACCACCAACTATAATCAAAATCAAAGTTGTGAGTCATCCACGGCACACACACAGTATTAAAAATAGAAAAGAAATATGATACCTATTTTTTGTGGCTTCTAAAAAACTGCAAATATGGTGATACAAAACGAAAAAAAGTTGCATAGCCACATGATTTTCGCTAACTCACACCTCCCCTATATTTCTTCTTCCTCCCCAATCCAGTTTCGTTTTCTAGCACTTACGTTTTTTGACTTCATTAAAAATATATGTGACGCTGTAGCATAATATTGATTGGGTAGTCTTCTGGCACCTTAAGAAATTGCCTGGCGAAAATTAAAAAATAAATTTTGGGGAGTGTCAGCGTTCCTTTAGAAAGGTGCCGCCCCAAGGACATGTTGGAAATTTTCGATCAGAACAAGAGGGCACAGTCTTGTTTCCTGTCGCTCAACTTTCTCTAGGCAAAAAAAAATAAATATATTGTTGGTTTGACAGTTTTTACTTCTCCTCGCAATTTCAATAAAACTACTCTCACAGGACAAGTCTTGCATTTCGGCAATAGTGAAACAGAAGGGAAGCAATGGCGAAGACCAAACAATGCTCAAAATTTAGATCAACGACGTGAGGCCCTTTTGGGTAAGACATGATTAAAGTAGCACGAACTGGTCAGAGACGAAAAAAAGGCACACATACGACCGGACTGGCGCTGACTTCAAACTAAGTTTACTGCATCATCCAACCAAGCAATATATACCATCACTTGCGGACATAAAGTGGCACGCTTCATAAATACCCTTTGGGTATTTATGATGCGTGTCATTACATTTTGTAGCGTGAGCTACAGTGGCCGAGGTTGAGCAGTTTCGCTTGGCTCCCAAAGATGTCACACGGCACACAGCTGCCGTGCCACAGCCGCCGCCGCGCGCGTCTCGCCGGTCTGTCTATTCCAGAGTCATAGCTGCGGCAGACGCACTGGCGCCGCTGCGTGCCCAGCCGTGCGCCTCCGGTGCGCAGTAGCCAAGTCTGACGCTGCACTGGAGCCGCTTGATAGTGCCTCTCATTTTGTGCGCATAAGCTCACGCTACGTATATCCCGGCATAGCTAAGCTAAGCCACTGCAATTTTTTTTTGGTTAGTTTTGGTGCAGCATTTGCGCTTGGGAGAAGGATGGCGTAGCGAAAGTGGATTGGCGCACAATGGTGCAATTGGTACAGAGCTTCCACCCCTGCAACATTATAAACAACCCTTTCTCATAGACAGTTGGTACATTTCATCTCAAAAATACCGCAAAACTTTCGCTGTAGTGAAATGCAGCTCCAGGGCCACCTCATAGATGGTGCCGGCATGTTCTCTCACCGTAAGATCTTGCGCTTGGTCTTAAGCAGACAGAGGGGTGTGAACCACCCTTAAAGGCTGACCTACAGAGTCGTCTTCTGCCGGGCAGAAAACCGGTCCCCAGTTTCCATCCCTCCATACCCTCTCGCATTCTTCTCTCCTCCTCTACCCATGAGAGCAGGTCTACTACTCCTCGCAGAAAGGAGGAGGGTCTCCCTTTCTGGAATGAGGAAATTGAGGGAGTTTCCTCCTTTCTGGTTGAACTTTACGTGAGGCAGCCTGCAAAACCAATCGCCCCGTTTGCAAGACAGCGTGCCACTCACCCTGCCATTGTCCACCGTAATCTGCGGGGGCTGCTGCTGAGGATGGTGTTGCGGCTGGGGCGGCGGCTGTTGCTGCGGTGGCTGCTGGGGTGGCAACTGCTGCTGCGGATAGTGGTGGTGGTGGTGGTGGTGGTGCTGTTCCGTGGCTGGCGGCCTGGGCTTGGGAGGTGCCAGGGGGGGCTCCTTGGTGGGAGGGGCCCCGCCGTGAGGCGGGCCGCCCTCGGGAGTGCCAGCGTACCGGGGGGGCGACGGGGAGTAGGCCACCTGCGGCGACGTCCGCCGGGGCTGCTGCGGCTGGAAGGGCGGGTAGCCCGACGGGTGCTGCGGGGAAGCGCGCAAGTACCATGCAGTCGAGACCACAAGAAGCCGTTTGAGCAGCCGGGAGATATTGCTGCACGCTCACACGCAAAAGACTTCGGCCAAATCCCACTTGTTTGCTTTTTGACGCACGATGCGTCTTGGGGCTGGGATCCCCGGGGAAAGTGTGACGGAACATCAGGGAAGCCACTACGAAACGTGCGACTCATACTTAGGAGGACAATCCGTACAAAAGAGCAATAAATTGAGAAGAAGAAACGAAACTCCAAATGCGCCCCAGAGGGAATCGAACCCACGACCCCGAGATAGTGAGCTCAACTAAGCTAGCTGGCTTTGTCTCCACCATGGTAGTGTCCGCTAACCGTTCGAATGCAAATGTCCATCGCGGGGCACCGGTGTTTGGTGTTCGGCATGTGCATTCACATTCGGTGTTTGCATTCGGCGTTCATGTTCAAACAGTTTATGGGAAGAAACAATAAATCCAAGGCTTGCCCACCATCACATAAAAAAGGACAAAGTCAGAGTGTGTATCAAAGTGGGCATAGCCCGCTGCATCAGGTCAGTCCTTTGCACACCCCAGCTTGGGTATTCCCACTTGGCGGGGTTGTAACAAGTTGACAATAAAGCTGGCGCCACCAAGTGACGACAATCATAATTACCATACCCTTGGCCGTTTATGAGCTTGCAACATTGCTAGCGTGAAGTCACGGGCAAATATCCCGAGATGCATCGTACTTCCTCGATGGCTGGTTTTGAAGCACTCGCCAGAATTTGTTGGTTGGAACAAAAAAAAAAAAAGGCTTGAGGTACAACTAAGAACTTCTTATGAGCTGTGAATGCAAAAGCATGAATGTCGTTCTTGCGCGCGTCCTTGTGAAGTTGCTGTGCCTCACTGACATCGGCGCATGGTTCTGTGCCGCCGCTCTATCGGCAGCACAGAATCGGCTGCAGGAATCGGCTGGCGCGCTCGGGCGGCCATACTGCCTCCCGAGCGCGCCAGCCAATTCCTTTAGCCGGCACGCAGCGCCATGGGGTGGTGCTGATTGAAAGTGATGCACAGCGGCCTCCCTCGGCTTCATTTAATTGCAGTTGTGCATGGCTTTTTGCGCGGCTTCAAAGCTAGGATGCCTCAGATTGCGGCTCCACAAATTTATCTGCCGTTTGGCGCAGCTAATGACGTCGGCTCACTTCATAGAACAGTTAATGCTTTCGATTCTGTGCCCCTTTAAAAGATTTTGGCAAGTATGCAAGTATAGAGACGGGAGATATATGCTAGGACAGTGGTTGTCTACCACTGATGTGTCGGGGAACTCTTGGGGACCTGCAAATGTGTTAAGGGACCCCATGCCAGTGGGGGAAGGGGAATAGCAGTGTAAAAAGGGCATCCTTATTGTTACAGATCACAAATGCATCTAGTAAAATGATGAATGCATGGATAGATGATAACAGCTGTACCTTTTATAATGGTTATGCCACCTAATCAGGGTCAACAAAAAAAGATGTTTTTTTTTTAAAGGAAAGAGGGCTTTGTGGACGTTAAAGATGGCTTTGCAGACCCCAGTAGGTTCGGCGGAACCCATTTGAGAATCACTGTTCTAGAACATAGCGGCAATGGCAGAGAAGAAATCAAAGTTGCAAATGGAAACAGTTGCCAGGTCTTCGCTCTCCCCACCTAAATATTACAACCGAATCTCGTTAATTCAAACTCGAGGGGGATCAAAAATTTTTTTGAATAAAGCAAAGTTTGAATTATTGGGAGTTTCCTCGCATAGAGATGCATAGGATGGGACCTGCACGTTAGTTTGAGTTATCTGCAAGTTTGAATTAAGAGTTTGAATTAATGAGATTCAACTGCAATAATCTTGTCGACCATTCTTGCAGCCCTATAGCCAGCTGCACCATTTTAGTCTGGGTTACTGTAAATGACACCATATTCACGGAACTTGATTTATCTTAAATCTGCCAGAGATGCTGCTCTTTCAAATTCTTTGTAGTGGCAAAATGTTGCGATTGTGAGTAAGCTACCTCTTGGGGGCCATATGTGGTCAAAATACAGCAGAACCTGGTTCCCCCTTTGTTCCCACTTTATATGCTTTCCTGGCTGTTGACGATTGCCGGTTCCATCCAACTCCCACAGGGATCCCTGGACGGGTCAACCCTCTGCATATGGAAGCAGCTGTCCCAAGCCAATGTGCCCCTTCCGGCAAGAAGCCCCGACAAGGCCGGCGAGAAGCACCTACCTCGTGCACGCCGTACTGAGGCATTGGTGAAGGCTGGCTACCGTTGATTGAATTCCCATTTGGAATGTGGGGTTGCTGTCCTGCCGGATGCTGGACGGGGTGCTGAACGGGGTGCTGGGTAGGGTGCTGGAAGGGGTGCTGAGCTGGGTGCTGCTGGGGGGGCCCGACGGGGTGGCCTTTGGCAGGGGGATAGCCGGAGGGGTCCCATTCCGGCTCGTAGCGGTCCTGTGCGGAGTCCCAGCTCTGCCGGTGTGGGGCCTGGTGTGGGGCCTGGTGTGGGGCCTGGTGTGGGGCCTGGTGCGGGGCCTGGTGTGGCTGCCCGATGCCCAGCTGCTCTCTGCTCACGTAGCGGCCCTGCGGATCCTGCCAGGCGGGGGGCAAAACGTCTGACCTCTGAGATGCTCTGGGTCGTCTATGTGGCCGTAAGCAGGTTTGTATAAACGTATCAATTTAAACTTTTCACACAAGTGTCTTTAGGTCTCACAAATTTTATCTCAGTTCACCCTACGCACAAAATGAAAACGGTAAAAACGAGATTTATTTTACTTTTTTTTTCTTTCTGAAACCTAGGCTCGTAAAATTTGAGCATGATTAATGCACCACCTAAAGGCACCTTTGTGAAATGTTTCCTGGCACTCGTTTCATTTACAAAAAATTTTGTACGCCCAAGTAGCGGTTGGACACCCTAAAGAATCGGGGATCTCAACCTTTTCTATCTTGGGGAACCCATATTCACGTGAAAAGGGAATTTCTCCGAGTCTAGTCTCGATGCAATAAAGCGGTGCAGGGGGACCTTGCAAACAGTAACACACTATCACGGACAATACAAGGTGAAACGGTCCTTCGTGCATCTTTGGCATATCTGCCATTTTCTGAGAGAGCTTTCATACTTTTGACTATTTCACAAATTATGAAAGAATGAAGCTTGTGGAGACCACAAACGAAGGAAAAGGCTGGATAGTGTGTTTTGGCTCGTGTTATCCGCAGGGGTACATGTGTGTTTGGAACATACCGTAAATCCCATAAGGACGCCCACCCAATACAATGTAGACCGCACATAACGTATGTCGCGGGAGTCGCGAAAATCCGCACTATAAGCGGTACCGCGTTATAACCAAATCATCAATTTTTCAGGCCAAGATACATGCCATGAGACAACTTACCTTTGTAAAGAAATTTATTTTATGTTAGATGAAAAATAAAGTTTAGTTTGAGGAAGTCTTTATTTTACCAGACAAGTACACTTCTCTCTCAAGTCTGTCACACATTTTGAAAGAAATGAGCGGCTTTTGCCTGGTGCAGCCTTTTACCGGCGTCGCGGGTTGCGGATGGACGTTGCGAGCGTTCAGGATTGCTAACCCTAATCACTTTTCTCCGATGAAAACGCGTGAAAATTCGCATCCTTTATACGGTACGTGCCAGTAATACCTTCAACTTGAGCACAGGCATGAAATGCTCCAAATAAGAAATCCGGGCGATGTTCGAAAACACAAATGCTTAGAAAGCACCACTGTAATCGAAGTAAACAAACACGACGACACGGGCGTTTCTGTCGTCTTGAGAGTGCCGCCATGACATCGCCGCACGAATAGGTGGATCTTCCCTTCTAGTATGTGCCGGGTTATCATAGCGACACACAACAAAAATTCACGGTCAAGCATAGCGCTTTTACGCGGAACGATGAGCTTCCCCCACGCCGTTACAGCCCACTGTAACGCCGTCTACGTCGATGATCACAACCGACGCCATGTTTGTGGATAGAAGCAGCCGGCCCGCGACCAGCATGCAATGCGCGCGAACACTTATTCTCGACCTGCGATTGGTCTGTCGTTGCGGTTGTTTCCAACCTTTCCAACGCAGCAGAGAAACGCACGCACGTGAACGACACGTGCGTGCGTCCCTCCGTCGCTATGGCAACTGAAGCCTCTCTCTTCGCTTCTCCCCGCTTCTTCGAGCAACCTCCTTGCCCCGCGAGTGCCGCTTGCGGCTCGCGCCGTTATCTAGTGTCGTACAGGGAAGCGTGCTCGCTGCGGCGGGCTGTTACACAAAACCGCACTATAACCGGTATTTCCCTTCGCGTGCGTGCATTTTAAGCGGTATGCAATTACATGGAGTTCTATGGGAGGCGAACCGGTGGTTTAAAAAAGCCGCGTTATACCCGGTCCTGCACTATAAGCGGTTACGTTGTAAGTGGTCTATACTGTATGAAGAGATAAATGGTGAAAAACAGGAGGTAGCCCACCTCATTTTTTTCACCCTTTATCTTCATATTGGTTGGGCGCCTTGATGGGATCTACCATATGTTCCAAACAAGCATTTACCTTCCCGGATAACAAGAGCCAAGATACCGGATCCGGACTTTTTCTTCCTCCGTGGTCTCCACAAGCTTCATTATTTTTTAATCTGTGAAATAGTCCAATGTCACGGGACGGCACACCACGGAAACTGACACAACAGATTGCGGACGCTGCAGATCCGCGTTTCACGGTGCGATAAACATGCAAAAACCTGCTCCAAATCTGTGTGCCATGAGAACCAACATTGCGTGTGCAAATCACGGACAAAAATGCGGGAACTCGATGAGAACTAGCTTATCACAAATACCGGTACCGAAGATCAAGCGGTTGATGTTATTCCTGTCAGATATCGCTTGATGTCCGACAAGAATTAGGGTGAGCGAGGTTTTGAAATTTTTATGTTATGTAGCCAGAAAAACTAGATAGGCAATCTCTCGGGGAAAGGTGTTCATGCGGGACTTTACAGTAGCCCTGAGGCCACAAAACAGGGGAATATTTTAGATTCAATCGGGAATAAGCACTAAGGAGTTTAGAAACTCGTTGGAATCCAAATTAAAGTAGTTTCAGAACGCTATTTTTGGCTAGCAGTGGACCATTTTAGGAAATCACCAGTTCAGGAGATTCTGGTATGAAAATGTGTGAGCACATGCTCAAGCAATGTGTGGGAGTTCCTATGACCGAGGAAGCAAGATCTTGCTTATTCTATTGAGCCGCGCCGACCTACATGGGGCTCCCCTGAAGTCTCTATTGTTCCTACTGTGGCTTATCTTTTTGCCCCGCAAGTTTGTTCCAAGACACTTCTCACCCCCCTTTCCTAATCCGTGCATTGTTTTATCCTCGGAATCCTCGAACCACGTTTTCAGCCACGTGGCGCCACTTATTTCTGAAATAATGAATTTCACGACAACCCAAATTGATGAATCATCGTCCTTCATTTTCTATGTATGAAGACAGAATTTACAAGGTCTGTCGAGTTCTTCCGCATTAGGTATGGCTGTGCCAGCAGAGGTTATCAATGACAAAGGGGAGAATCATTTAATGCTCGATTGGTACGAATACCGGCCTCTTGGAGTCAAGGCCAGCCCCCAAGCGATCGGCTCGTCATTGATAATAAACGCCTCGACACACGCGCTGCAATAATTTTGAAGAGGCAAAGAGTGGAGCGGCAATGTTTGGTGCGATTCACAAATATCTACAATTGCGCTTTTGGAAACTGTCACCAACTGCCGACACTGTCCTGTGAGCGCCGTCGGGCGGATACCGAGGAACCACTTTTTACAGCGAAGCTGTTATGTGCTAGAACCTGGATAATAATGCATTCATGGATATTAACAAAAAAACTCCCATTTAAATGGCGCTCCTTCGTTCCAATCGGTCGTGGCAAGTATAAATAAAAAGAAGGGGCAACCCATGTGAGTCAGCCTTCCTTGGCATTATTAGATTAGATGGTCCTGATCCCTTGTTATCATATACGGTCACCAACTTATCTCAGCTAAGATTGCGCTATGACGAGGCTGAGGGCAGAACGCGCTGATCTAACCTCCTTTTCTTTCGCTTCCGCGATGCTGATAAAGAGACTTGGGCTCAATCAGAACAAACTGTCCTCGAGGTGTGCCTCAAAAAATTGGGTTTAGAACTTGCCCATTAGTGACCATTAGGCAATGATCACTTTAGTCACTAGAATTAAATAAAGACAATTAAACAATGAAGTCGTGTACGTGTCTTCATTGTAATCATATGGAAATCGTATTGATGTCGTATAGTTGTTGTAAAGATAACAGCTTCGCTAGTCCTCCATCTTCACTTGAAGTGGATGGGCTCTACTACTGATATCCACTAGAGGGGGCTGGATGGCGCATTGAGCAAACAGGTATGAAGCCACCGGAAGTAAGCGGCTTGTCCCGGAAGTGAGCGCTCGGCAGGCTTTGTAACCTTTCCGAGTGATGGTTCGAAAAGCGTCGACGGCGCTGGATTTTCGCTTCTCACCTCAAGAGAGCCTGCTTGTTGTGTAGTAAGAGCGCATGCAGACCCGAGAAGTATCATGGGAAGCCATTCATTGTAAACATTTTGAGATTCTAGTTGATCAAGTGTGCATATGTCCCAAGTTCAAATGCCTAATTTTCAACATTTAATTCAGAGCATGGTTATTAAAACCCACTCAAAGACACCGGAAAGTACGGACCAAAACATTGACTGAATGCACTAGGAAGCCCAGCAGACGCCCGACTTCCGGGACAAGCATCAAACTTCCGGTGGCTTCATTTGCGCCCTGCTCGAAGAGCGGCTATGCGCCATCCAGCCCCTATAATAGAGATCAGTAAGCTCTACAATCTTTTCAGACGCGGTAAACACACCAATGGAAGACGCGTTCGAGTGAGCTGCGTCCGCGGAAGCCCCACCTGGTGGCCCGGGTAGTAGCTGCCGTTGTGGGGCGGCGCAGTTGTTGTGCCGTGGGCCGGGTGCTGGGGGTAGCCCTGGTGGGGGGGCAGGGGCCGGTGCGGGGGTTGCCTACCCGGAGACCCTCCGGGTGACACGCCACCCCCCAGGGCCTCGTGCTCCGGCACAGGGGGCGGCAGGCGGCTGAGGTCCCGCTGCATCGGGGGCGGGCTCTCCTTGCGCAGAGAGTTGGACCGGGTCACCGACACGGGGCCCCCCGGTCCCCTCGAGGGGCCCCTGCCCACGGGGCTTGGGCTCGTGCCCCCGCTTGGCCCCCCGCGCACTATCGTCTGCAGGAGAAGAGACGAGCTACGGATGAAGAAAGCCGAAGAGCCGGCTGTCCGCTTTGGACGACCAATATTATGTTTGTGCGGGAGTGTTCGCTTACGTTTTTGCGCGTTACGTTACAAGTCACTGGCACGTCCCTATACTTAGTATGTTGCGTGAGCAGCTACTGCTTGAATTAGTTCCCACTCTTGAAGCACGCATGTCCCGGTGACTCGACGTAATCGCAAGTGAGCTCCCGTAACGACGCAACGTAAGCAAATGCTGCTGTGTGAGCAAGTAATATTATGCGATAACGCGGACTCATTGGACGTGAGTAGGCTTTTGAATGCCAAAGTGCGAAACCATGTAGAGTAAGATTGAGTAAATTTTAAAACACCGTCTTTGTTAGCCCGGAATATCGGCATTCGTGATACGATGTATTGCACAACACTGCCTCACTTTGATCGTAGAACTTACCGTAGAAGGTCTACAACGAAATGCGTCCGAATACGTGCAACGAGAAGAGCAGAAAGTTACGGAAAAGTCGACAAAAACTGTAACATGGCCGCCAAATTTAGCGGGCTCACAAGCTTGGAGAAGCTCATAAATAATGCTCAGTGCTGCTCAATACACGCAGCATATTTCGTGTCTCCCGACTCTATCTGTACGATTGAGATGCATTTAAATATTTTTTAACAGTGGTGCTGCCAGTGTATCAGGCCCCTGTTGTCTGCTGTAATGTTAAAGGGATACTTCAACGAAATTTGAAATATTCCCGTCACGTTCAAAAATAGGTTCAATATGATCCACAATATCCGTAAATAACTATCGCTCGTTTGTATTTCGAGCCTGGTGGCTGTATTTTTCGTTATAAACGGCCCCCTCCGGCAAGCGCTCAGAGAAGGCCCAGCGGAGACCACGTGACATCCAACGCAATCGTGACGTAGGTCGTCTCGGGACGAGCAAAGCTACGGCGAGGCTGACGTCGAGGGGATGGCCTAGTCGTTCCAGCCACTGAAGCGGCTGCTTCTGTACGAATTTTGAGTGAGGGGTAATCTTCTATAATCTTGTAGGGGGACAATAGCGACTTCTGCAACATACAAAAGGCATTCTCGGAAAGAGGGGAGTTCCTCCTTCTCTCTTCTCTCGTCGTGGCCGGAGGCGAGACAGTCACCGTCACTAGCTGTCAAGGTTTCTAGACGGGCATTACAAGAGAGGCGTTAGCGACATCTACCAGGTGCTCTTTGTTGATCGTTCTATATGTTTTAAAATTCCTTTTCGTGACTTTTTTAACAAGATATTGGTATGTCCGATGTGATGCTGCTCCTTTGAACACATTTAGACCAAAAAATGAGCGCCGAAATTTCGTTGTAGTATCCCTTTAATACAAGAAAAAACAACACGTATAACCAGCTCTGCAGTTCAAATTATGGTACACCTAAAGATATCTTCGACAATAACTCGATTAAACTACTTTCAATGCCTATTGGCAACTTCAGCGTAATTGCCAGCGCCGGTGGCTAGAACAGAAAGCTGTAGCGGCAGATTATCTCGTCACCTTTCTCGAGCTAATCAGATATTTACGGTGTCTGGTGGTCTAAACATGAAGCCGTGAAAGTAGGGAAAGGACAAGGGTGAAAAGTCGGGCCAGCTGGTAATCCATAGTATTTAAAAAGTGCAACGAAGCACGTGCAAGGAAGATAGACAGAGACACAGTGCTGTGTCTCTGTCTTGCTTGTTTGTGTCTCGTTGCACTTTTTAAATATTAAGGTACAAAATAAAAGTCAGCAATAGACACCTCTTTCAGTAACTTTAGCAGCTGGGGTCCTCTAAATTTGGACAGAGTTTGTTGATTTTTCTCAAAAAACATCGAGAACCTGGAAAGAAACAATTTTGGGAGATGTCTCGACACCATATGGCAGAAGCTACTGCTCCGCGTCGAAACCTTAAAGATTTCTTGGGGAAGTCAGAAGCCCTTTAATGGTTCCAATAACAACCTGCGCCTCACGAGGCATTTGCACTCGAAACCGAAACTCTCCCAATCCCAGAAAGAACAAAAGAATGAGGAAGAATGGGGCGTACGTACGTGCAGTTTCATGTCGAGGATCTCGGTGGGAGTGATGTGGGAGGGGTCCACGATGGGCTTGGGCCGGTCCTGGCCGGAGCCGATGAGGCTGGCCCATTGCGGGGGCAGGCCCACAAAGCGGCCCTCCCGCCGGTCGAAGCCCGTGTGCACCCGGTGCTCGAAGTTGCTGGGCGCAGAGATGATGGGCTTCTTCTTCTTCTTGGCAAACATCCTGGGGCACCGTCTACCGGCTGCTGCCGCTTCCGTTGCCGGGGCAAACCACGGGCCTGCAAGCAGAGCGTACCGCCCGTCAGCGACAGTGGTCTTTATGGGAGAGCCGCGGCACCACGGTAAGGTAGCAGCCCATACCGTGGGAGCTGCGTCTAAGAATCTCCATTGGCTATGGATAAAGCTTTTGACACAACATATGTAAGGCTAGAACGACATGGTCTTTCGACCGTCGACGTAATGACCATCGTGACATCCTGAAACGGTGCATGGAACGTGTTTTCAATTCGTCTGTTTAGCGTCCTATACTGACGATGCACTGAAAGTGGTTCCAAAATGGCGACAAATTAAGTCACAAGAGCCGTCATGTGATGCCGTCGGATGTCGCGATTCTGGTAGTCGGATGTGGGAATGCCAAAGAGAATGCCGTCATGGCGTCCGACTTCGTGTCTGCCAGGCTGCAGCTGCAGGAGCACGGGAGTGTGCCGTACCAACCTCAGATGTGCCAGAATTGCAACAGCATGACACTAATTTGAGGTCGTGAGGCGAAAATTGGGGGACCACGAATGAGGACGTAGTATATACATGTCGGTCCGAGATAGGTCCCGGGCACCACACCCCAACGGATGGCAAACCGGATGGAAACGGCGGCCGCCTTTTGGCGTCCAATCAAGAGAAGCCGAGAAAAAAAGCTGAATTTGGATCTTTGTCCAAGATGCCAACACAGGCTGCCCTGGACCATGCCACAAGTATCACTATGTGAAAGGGAAAGTAACAACTTTCTTTACTCCACTGACTTAGCTGGTAAAAAGAACAGATGCCTTTATGAAAACTCATTTTGCCTCCCCATCACACAGATTGCCAGCACCCATAAAGTGTCACTTCTGAGAGTGGGCTACTCATATACTTAATAAGACTACCCACTGCGTTCGGAACTTTACTAGCCAGTTATTAAGGTTTGAAAATCATACTTTAGTTGGTGGTGCAGTTTAAGAACAAATAGTGTGGGTGAACTTACACAAATTATAGGGTGGACGCAATTGGACTACGACATATATATATACTTATGAACCATAATACATTGTAATATACTTAATATAAAAAAGTAACAAAAAATAAAGTGGACAAATAATAAAGTAATATTACAAGCCAATAGTATGCACAGGTCATGTGAGATAACGGTCTAAGGCAGGGGCTCTCAAACTGGGTTCTGCAGAACGCAGTTTGTCCCCTTCGATGCACATAAGCTCAAACTAAAACACCTCGAACCAAGCCAACCACACACACGACGAAGCCTCACCAGCCTCACCGTCTCTCCTCGGCAGTAATGTACACATGGGCTGAGGTTCCGGGCAGAGGCTCCGGGGGCCTTAGCCCATCTGTGCGTGTGCGTGCACTTCCGCACTCACACGCACAGATGGCATGCACGCCGCCCACACATCTGTGTGACTCCTGAACGACATAACTATAAAGATACCTATTGATACTATTTTTATGACGCATAATATTTCCTATTAGTCTTAGAAAACAGTAAGGTCACGTGACATATATTAGCCTTAAAAACAACAATAAAATGTAACCTCTTTATTTTTATATCTTATATTTATTTATAAGAAAGTATAATATGTACATAAAAACAAATAATGTCCTTATAGTCACGTGACCTTTTGCGTGGATGGAGCCTTATCTCCTCCCGACTTGGCTACGTCCCCGCGCGTGGATGTAGCCTCGGTCATAAAAAAGTGGAGAGGTTTCTTGTCACTAATGATCACAGAAAGAGATTTTTATGGCTCCAATCCAAGGCCGTGCGAATGTTACGTAACCATGGAAAGGGGATGCAGTGACGGGCGGAGAGACTATCACGTGCTCCATTCAAAAAGCAGGATTGGCCGAAATGGTCCGTAACATCCACTGCGGTCGGACGTAAGGTAAAAGGGAGTGTAGGTCGAGCCTCCAAAAATAAGCTATGGTCACACAAAACACGAGTATGTTTCTTTTCATTTTTTTCCAAAAAAAAAGGAACTCTTTCACGACCGGCGGAGACTTGTCCGGCGAAAAGGCAGCCTTCCAGTGCCACCGGGAATCGTAAAAGATCTCCATCTCTAGAAACCGTAACTGTAAAGAACCAGTACAAACCGATTTCATATATACAACGGTAACCATAACCAGTCCATTATAATTTTCGGTTTGAGTCCCCGCTCCTGGGGATCGATGGGATGGCGGGCGTCTGAACCCCGCCGCAGCAAACCGACTTCCTGACTTGGTCCGCCACCGGGACGCGACCAAAGGGTGGTAAAGCAGCCAATACCATTTGCAATAGCTGGCTCGCATTCTTCCTCGTTCCTAATCGTGACAGTAACCGTTTTACTTCTGGTTTGCGTGCCACAGTAAGTCGGGGGCAGTGGCGTAGGCAGAGGGGGGGGTTTGGGGGGTCGAAATCCCCCCCAAAATGCCAAACCTACCCCCCACCCCTGGTGGGCCCGCTCGCTCCACTGCACACGCAGTCGGTTTCGCACAGGTCATGAAGCAAAGGGGAAGCACGGACTGTCTCAAACTTGTATGCTTTCGGGAAAAGTGTTTGTGGGGTAGAAAATGCTAAAATGAATAAAATAGGCAATATTCCTCCATTTGTGTTTATTTGATGGAATGTGGAACTTGATCTCAGATATATAGAGAATGGATATTTCGAAACACTTGTGGGGTGAAGGATGGCAATTTTAGGGCCAAGTATAACAAACTATCCTTACTAAAATACACAGTTCAATCAAACCAAAGCGAACATAATAAAACAAACGCATGGTGATAATATAAAACAATGCCAGTGATGTAAGTATTATTAAATGAATTGTAAAAACAACTGCACTGTAACCAACGGGTGGCGCTGTGCTCACGCACACCTTGAGTACTGATCAGAATTACGTGCCTTCGACTAAAATTAATAATATAGAGTTTATTTCCATCGTACGTTGATGGTGGCGATCAAGGAAAAAAGTTGCATGGCACAGCTTGACAAGTCGAAGAAAAAAAAAGTACATTCACAAATCTTGATTACCCACAATTTAACAAAGCGTTCGGACATAATATATTTTATAATCTGCCATAACAGGAAAGTGTTATTTGCAGACAAGTTCTGAGACCCCAAAAGTTTAGTTCATATTCAGATTCATTTGTAGAGAAAAGTAGTCGAATTTCTTTAATAGACAATGTACTGAATTCCAATCTTTTATCTTAAAGTAGGTTTAGTATTTTTGGGATAGTATGATTAACAATTTGTGCGCCATTGTTCGCTTATGCAGTGACCACCTCTCAACATTCCGCGCGACGGGTAGAACAGGCGTGAATAGTTTCAGACAGCTCTCCAAAGTTTATCAAAAAGTTTGTACCCCTAATTTGTTCTAGTTTTAGACTAGTGACAAGTCTATAGCTAAATAGAGCATGTATACGAATAACGGGAAACCTCTTAAATAAACTAGCTGTGTGAAAATCAAATGGAACGTCTTCTATAGCCCTTAACGCTTTTTTTGTCTTTTTTGCAGCAACTGTTTTTTTTTTTAGATTCGTTGACGTTGTTGTACCCAAGACTAAATTACAATAGTTTATGTGGGAGTAAGATAACGAATTGTATATTCATAATTTCACATTTGCTGGTAACATGTACCGGTGGCGGTTTATCACACCTACTACTTGTGACAGCTTAGAAATAAGGTAGTTGACATGACTATACCATGACATATTCTCGGTAAAAATTACACTTTTAAAAAGCCTCTAACACGCAAAAAAAAAAAAAAATTTTTCACGCTAGGCGTTAAGATGGCATGTCAGGACGTTACAAAAAAATTGTTTCACTAAAGAGTTGTGGAGTTTTTTTTTATAATAATAGAAATAGGAGGCCGAATTCAAAGTTCCCGTCAGTGCACTGTGATGTAACAGTGTACCGCAAGGTGTCAAGGCGGTCAGAAGTGAGGCATCGGCAGAAGTCACGTGAGTTGTATCCCTCCTCGTGCACACCGCGAGTGCGTGAAATATTTTTGAAATATTTTTGTTCTCTGCACCTTTTACAATCTATATTTTGGAGGAGTTCAAAACGATATATTTTGTAATCGTGACTAGCTTATGTTTTGAACGAAAAAACACTGCTTTTGTTTTTTCGACGCTGATTTGTTGTTAATTAATACGACACTAAATTGCTAATGCAGATAACACCTAATTTTCCATGTACAACAGCACATTGACATTTCAGCTAAAAAAAAAAAAAAAACTTGTGTCGTGGGCATAGCTCATAAATGTTGCATCAGAGTTAATTTTCACAATTTTAATAACGTAAATATTGAAAAGAGAAGGACCTCGTATACATCCCTGTGGAACACCAGCAAGAATACGCTTCGAACTTGACGAATATCCATCAATATAAACTCATAGGATTCTATGCTTTAGGTAAGACTTCACTAACTGCAAAGCATGCCCCCGAATCCCAGATGTATCAAATTTTGCTAATAAAATTGCATGATTGAGGCTACCAAAAGCTTTTGTGAAGTCTATGAATGCTCCAAGAACAATTTATTTTTCTTAAAAATTTTGCAAGATGAATTCTTTCTGCACGAGAAGGGCAGCCTCGGTACATTTATGATTTATAAAACCAAACTGTGAACCAGTTATCAAGTTATGCATAGTTGAAAAATTGGTTAGACCTGTATGAGGTACCTTTTCAAGTGCTTTAGAAAATACTGGCAATATTGAAATCCGTCTTTAATTACACATATCATTTACACTTCCCTTTTTGTGTAGTACTGACACTTCGGCTATCTGCATTCGTTTAGGAAAAACACCAGTCACCAAAGAAAGATTAAGTATATGCGTTAGCACTGACGCTAAGATATGAACAACATACTTAACAGGGCTTATTTGTAAATCATCCACGTCACAAGCTCCACTATTCTTGAGTTGTAAAATCATATGAATGACCTCAGGTTCTACAACCGGATCTAAAAAAATCGAGCTGCTGTTTCTATCATCATCAAGAACACAAGAATTTACAGTATCAATCGTCTTTGGATATTAA